AAATTGTCTTTGTATGTTGGAGATATGATTTAAAGCATCAGCGTAAAAACTTGACGTGCCTTTTTCTTTGGCAGGTTCTTGATAAAAATTGAAAATGGGTACATGTATGTCAACACATTCAAGAAGGATTAGGCCACGAAGGAAAGGTCGTCGGAGGTTTCCAAAACACATTTCTAGAGTGTCTGATATTATTTCTCATCCAAATATTAGACGACTAAGTGATGTTGGAATCCAAACCTCTTTTGGTGAGTATCATTAGGATGAGAGTTGTGATATTGCATTTCTTGTTTATACAGAAAAAAGATAGGTGATGAATGTTAAATCTTCGGTTTTGTTGCAGATATTTCTCAAAACGATGCGTGGTTTGATTCTTCAAGTCTTTTCTCTGACTCTGATGACGACTTTATTAGCCTACATGAAGGTAAATGTCAATCTACATATGAAATGTTTTGGTTGTCTCTTTTTTTTGGGTATTGAATATTTGATAAAGTCTAGATTTGTTTCAGCTGATAACGTTTGGTTAGAGGGTGGCGTAATGGGTGATATTCCAAATGGTCAAGTGGTTCAGTTTGAGGCTTCTTCATGCATTGTTGATGGAAATGGAAATTATGAAGAATACCATGAGAGTTACTTGAAAATTGATGGCGGTAATAAAATCGAGAAGTTTATGAGCAACGGTTTATACAAAGATACTAATAGTTTGTCTGTTATCACTGGAAACAACAAGAAGAAACAATTGGACCATACTTATAGAAGCTTTAAAGGATTAAAAGAAATAGACCCGAACCCTCAAGAAAAAACATTAAAATCCAATTTGAGCCGGTTGATGCCAACGGTTAGTTTCAACGACAAGACTCTGAACTCCCCCACATCTCAAAAGCGGAAGTCAGTGGTTTATCAGGTTTCTTTCAAGAGGAGATCATGTGATGGTGAAGAAGTTACCGAGCATAGTAAGTTGTCAAATTTTTACTAAACCATACAAACATCAAAACATGTATATATGCATTGTTATGTGAGCCTGTAATTTTAACATGTATATTTTGAAACGGTTTTTATATAAAGGGTCGTCCAAAAGATTGTTGTACCGTCCCAAAGCCGGATACACCATTCCGTGCTATGCCAAAGAGAAGCAGCAATCATCAGGAAGTTGGTGTGAGATACCTCCTTCAAACTTGAAATTACGTGGCGAAACTTATTTCAAGTACATTTCTTAACTTCTCTGTTTATTTATACATATATGCATTTAAGCGACTATAAGTAGATGTAAACTGTTAATACAATGATAAATTTGTAGAGATAAACGAAAATACCCCGCTCCAAACCAATGTCCATACACTCCAATTGGTGTTGACTTGTTTGTGTGTCCAAGAAAGATTGATCATATAGCCCAACACATTGAACTTCTCAACATCAAAGCCGAGGCAAAGCTCCCTGCTCTTCTCATTGTCAACATCCAGGTAAAAACCACTAAATAAAGTTCCTTTAGATCGATAGATATGTTTCAAGGCTCTAACAAATCTGGCTTTTGTAGTTGCCAACTTATCCAGCCGCAATGTTTCTCGGTGATAGTAACGGAGAAGGCATGAGCATTGTACTTTACTTTAAATTACGAGAAAGTTTCGAAAAAGAAATCTCTCAACAATACCAAGACAGCATCAAGGTTAACTATCAAATTAAGACCGTTTCATTTTTTAAAAACTTTCTTGTGAATGCGCGCATTGATCTTTTTATATATGGTTTGTCGCAGAAACTAGTGGAGGATGAGATGGAAAAAGTTAAAGGGTTTGCAAAAGATAATATTGTTCCGTTTCGTGAACGTCTTAAAATCGTAGCCGGATTAGTTAACCCAGAGGAACTCAGTCTTAGTTCTACTGAAAAGAAGCTTATACAAGCTTATAATGAAAAACCCGTGCTTTCTCGCCCTCAACACAACTTCTTCAAGGTTTTTATTGAACACCAGCCTCTTTAATAACATTTGGTCGCTTAATTATCATGATCGATTTGGTCTCTTTCTGTCCAGGGTCCTAACTACTTTGAGATTGATTTGGACGTGCATCGGTTTAGCTACATTTCAAGAAAAGGGCTTGAAGCATTCAGAGATCGACTTAAAAATGGAACTCTTGATCTCGGCTTAACTATCCAAGTAATGTTTTTGTTATCATCTTTTATAAGACACTATTGTTCTTGAAGAATGTAGAGAATTAAAAACTTGTTTTTGCAAATAGGCTCAAAAACAAGAGGAGTTACCAGAAAAGGTCTTATGTTGTCTAAGATTAAGCAAGATTGACTTTGTTGACAACGGTCAAATTCCGACACTTTTAATACCTGAAGAAGGAGAATGTCTTGTTTGAAAACTCCCTTTGTGATTTTCAATGTTGTATAAAGAAATAACAAGAAAAATCTGAATTTTGTTTTGCCGAATTTGTTGTGTATTGTTTGCAAATGTTGTAATAATGATATATGTTCTTTCCGTTTATAATCATAGATTTAAACACCTTAAAGTCATCTACTTGAGTTTGTCCTTTGTTGTAACTTGTACACTCTCTTTTTAATTTAGTTCTATTCTTGCGTTTATGTGTTGTAAACTTCCAAATCTCTTTTGCAATATTAACTCAAGAAAATAAGATAAAATTTGTAGCTAACAGTTATATTTGAGGTCTAATTTAACAAAATGTATATAAGGGTCAAAATGGCAAGAATAAAACTACCATGGAATCCAAAACAATGATGAACTGTTGATAAGGATGTGTATACTATTAGAGTCCCTCATTCGAAATTGGCGAAATTCATTGGGCAATATATAAGTGTGCGGCTATCCTCCTCTTTTGAAATAACTTTTGGATGTGAGTTAGGTTCACACTAATATATACTACAAGAAAACAAAAATCAGAAAAATTGTTTGAAAAACGTTGGAAACGAACGTTTCCGAGCGATTTTCCATCCTATACTATTATTTGGGGAGTACACTTTATAAGAAACCCTTAACTAACCTTCTCTTTTGTAAAAAATTACATGAGAATGCCATTACAAATTTTTTCTTTTAGAACAAATTTATTCAATTTCTTAAGGATAAACAAGTAAAATACTAATTTATGTCATTTAATTAATTTATTTAATTATAAAACGAAAATCTGTTATTAATTTTTTTTAAATGACCAATCAAAATGAATATATAAGATTTGATATCTAACTTATCATATTAATTTGTTATTAATCATTAAACTTCACCTCTCATCTTTATATGATTATATTTATATGAAACAAATAAATCATCATATCATCTATATAATAAAAAAAAGTAATTTTTTTCTGCATATGCCAAGATTTGAATTTTTAAAAACGCATATAAATTGTTCAATCTATAAAGAAAACAATTAAACGGGTCAATAATTCAGACTTGAGTAATATATTTCTTTTACACAAAAATAAATTCAACAAAAATTTCGACTGAGCAACGGGTAAGAATTTGAATATTTATATTCGATTTCATACATTTATTTTTTGAAATGTATAATTTTATATACTTCAATAATAAATTAAATATTTTAATTTGCAACATTTAAAATAAGTTTTACTTGATATTTTTAGAGAATATCATCAATACTTAATAGTTCAAAAAGTTAAAAATTATAAATACTCTAATTTGATTAATTAAAAAAATATTTATAATAGGTAGCGGGTTAAATATAATATATTATATGATGAAATGAGTTTTGATCCTTATAACTATTTGGATAGTTATATTTAATTTCACATAATTTGTTTTTTGAAATTCAAAATTTATAAACTACAAAAAAAATTTAAAGATTTTAATTAGGAATATTTAAAAATAGTGTAGAACATTTAAATATGGTTTGACACCTCTAAATATTTGAAAATTTGATTCCGCAAGCAATTTTAGAATTAACGAATAATAGATTGTGTACGGAATATTTTAAAATGAAATATTGAGATTCTAAAATAAAAATATAGACTCCACACACAGGTTGATTTTGGTATTATTATATACTAAATATATGTTTATAACATATTCGATTATGCAAATAATTGGTAAATTCCGTAATTATAAATCTCAAACAAATTCTGTAATTAGATTAGCTCAAACAAATCTCTATTTCAACAACCAAAGAATTATAAATTGAAAAAGAATTTTCTAAATTAGTTTAAAATAATAGCTAATTTCTTAATTAATTCAAAATAATCTATATTTTATATGCGATTCATTTATGATATTTTAATTCTAACTAAAATATATGCAATCCTATTTTGTGGTTGTTAACATAAATTAACTCATTGTTCAAAAAATATTACTTTTTAAAAAATAAAATTATTTTCCATTTTCATATCTTAAAAAAATTATTATCCATAATTGAGTATTATAGAAAAAAAATCTATATTTATTCTAATATTGTATATAGGGACTGACAAAAAAATTAATATTTTTTGACTTTGTATTATAATATATTAAAACTTAGTTCTAATATATATATTATATAAATTTTGTAATAAATAAAATTTAACCCGTACTTTAGTACGGGTGATGATCTAGTGTAGGTATATTATATAATCGAGGATTCTCTCTTTCTATCAAAATTCAAAGATATGGTTTTGTTCTATAAAATAAACTCTGGATTATGGAATAGATTTGTAGTATTTGAAATTAAATGGGGTATTTCTCAGTTTTATATTTAGTTTTTTTTCCTTCATTTTCTAGGTTTTTAACCATTTCATTATTTTAAAAAGCTCTAATGGCTCTAGTAATAATGAGAATAATCTTGAAAGAAAAAAAAAAACTTAAACGAGGGAAAAATGCCATGCTCTATTTTTTTTTTTTAGATTCCTCTAAAAATGACAAACTTTTTGTTACAATATTTTCCCCTATTATACATCACAAAACGAAGAGGACTCAGAAACAATTTTGGTATTAATGGGATTTACTTATTTTTAGTAATGTTTCTTCTTCTTTTTTCCTCTTTTGTCTAACATCGATGAAAAAAAGTGGACTTTTGTCTTTCTCGGTAGTTTGCCTTCCCGGTTTATCTGTCATCTTGTTCTACAAAACAAAAGAAAACCAAAGCTGTTTTAGTGTGAATCAGAACTAAAATAATGTTATTTCCGGTTTAATCACTGGTTATTTCCGGTTTACCCCTCTGAAAATGGGATTTTCTGACAGCTTGCCGGATATTACTTTCATTCCTTTGCAAAATCTCATCAATCTTTCCTGATTTAAAAATCAACGGTCCTGATATGCTCTGTTTTCCAAATTGTAGATGCTCCTAAAAACACCAAACAATCACAAACATTTAACTTCAAATAATTCTAAAAATGTATATATATCTCAAATGAATTTCAAAGTTGATAAAGATTCTAACAAAAACAAGAGCACTTACTAAATTTTTCTTTGGAGAATCCTCCTCTCTTTGGCCAAAATCCAAACCAGAACCATCAAGTGATCCGTGCCGTTCCCCAATACGGCTAAGCTTACTCTCACTAGGAACCTCTTCGATATCATCATCATAGTTGTCTCCCTGAACCTCCCAAACTGAGTCATCATCTGGTTTCAAGTTCAAACCGAAAGTGTTCTTTGCAAATGCAACACTTGTTCCACTCAATTGACTCTTTGAGCTGGGTTGATAGTAGGTAAGAGTGGAGATATTATCAGGATCTTTTCGTCTTTTCACCGCCCACGCAAAACCGCTGGCTGGTCCCGTGGTCATTGGGAGGTCAGATACTTTGTAGTAGTTTCCATGTGTTGTTGTAGTGGCTCGAGATGCCTCATTTGGTTTGTTCTTAACCTCAAGCGTGTCCTGCACGTTAAAACCTTACTTGAGACACAAGAAATAAAGCTGATAGAGGAATTTTAGAGTGAGAGAAAGAGGGACCTGTCTTATTGGTAACTTAGCGTAATTCTTTGGATCGTATTCTGCTCTATGTGGTCTCTTGTGTTTCCTGCCAACTCCTGAATCTCGCAACTTGAGGTTTGCTCTTTTCCTGTATAAGAATATGAATTAACAGTTTTGAGACATAAATAGTTTTGGTAATTCTAGTTCTCATTATATACAAAAGCCTCATCAAGATTTTTAACTTGGAACGAAAAAATGTATACAAGGTAAAGAGAAGAATTCTGACCTGCGCATATCGTCACGATATTTAGCATCCATTTCTTTGTTTGGAGGATATTTAGGCAGTGAAGAAGGATCACACGCATAAGGCCTCGTCAAGAAATACTAAGACCAGATTGAGACAAATCAGACAAAAAAACTGAGATGTAAAAGAAAAGGAGCAACGGGAAATCGAAAATGTTGCTTCACCTCGGAGTTAAGTGCAGATGAAGCAGTGCCACGCTTGTCAGGTTCCATTGAGAGTAAAGTTTCTAAGAGATAAACACCAGTTGTTGATAACTCTTTGCATCGTTCTCTGAGAGTGGCTTCATAAGTATGTTGAGGTTTGAAGGAAGTTGCGTGAGGAAGCTTAGTTCTTTTCCAGAAGCTATCTGGTGGAGATCCACATAGCTTGTAGATCTTATGCAATTGTTCAATCTGCAAAAACCAAAAACAAAAATTGCAAAGAAAAAAAGTGAAGCTTAAAGCAAGACATCAATTAGATGCAAGTTATGTAAAATATATGATATGAATTTATTATAAATAAAATTTGTTGAAATTATAGGAAATACTTATAAAATCAATTAGAAAACTCTTAAATTTTTACAAACTAACAAAATAAAAACTGAAATATGAATATAATTTTTTTAAATATATTTTTAGGTTTTTTCAAAAAATTTATGGAGGGGATTGAATATCATGATTCTAGCGGAGATCCGAATACCGGATGTCCTGCTAGATACGAAGATATTAGAGATCAGGAAAAATAAATTCGGCTATGTGCCCACTTCTAAATCAAATTTTTTTTACCTCGGTTCTGCCTTTTAGGATTGGTTTTCCCATGAGAATTTCAGCAAAAACACATCCCACACTCCATAAATCTACTGATACTCCATAACTAGTGGATCCCATAAGAAGCTCAGGAGCTCGGTACCACAAAGTCACTACACGGCTCGTCAATTGATTTTTGTTCGTAGGTGTAACCACATTAGCTAGCCCAAAGTCTCCAAGCTTTAAAACTCCTTTGTTATTCACCAAAATGTTTGATGCCTTAATGTCTCTATGTATTACGCCTCGCATATGACAATGCTCTAGTCCCCAAAGTAGTTGCTTCATGTAACATTTGATCTTGTATGACAAATCAAAAAGAAAGAAATAATATCAAAAATTCTATCCAATGTCACAAAGAAATAGACACGAATTTCGCAGTTTGTACCTGTTGCTCGGTGAATCTGATGTCGGGATTAGAGGATAAACCGGCAAGATCATGTTCCATATACTCAAAAACAAGGTAAATGCTGCTAGATGCTCGAGATGTGACTATGCCCTCAAGTTTCATGATGTTTGGATGGTTGAGTTTCCGCAATATCAAAATCTCTCTTGCCATAAACCTAATGCTCTCTGGTTGAAGATTATCAAACTTTACCTTCTTCAATGCCACCATTTTTCCCGTTTCTACTTCCCGTGCTCGAAACACGCTACTATATGTTCCTTGTCCAATCTAACACCCAAAAAAATTCATCAACACAAAAAATATCCTTTCGTTATGTAACTTCCTTGACAAGAAACAATATGTTTACCTTCTCCAACTTCTGAAACGCCTCTGCCTTTAAAGGAACCCAACCATGGACAGCCTCAGACGCAGCGGAACAAAGCCAAGCCGGCCAACCAGCAGCCGCTTGCTCAGCCTCTAAATTCCTATGAGACAATCCAAGGCTCACACCAATCCTCAAATCAGAACCGCCCAATCTCCTTGATTTTCTTGAACGCTTGCAATTGTGACTCGCCTCCAAAGAATGATCAATAAGAACTCGATGTTGCTGGCTCGTGGAAATCAAGCCAGGTTCGGGGACCGGTGACTCACCCTGGTCCGTTAAACATGAGACATTCTTGGAGCTGATGCAACCCATTTGTTATAGAAAAAAAATTGTTTCCGGATTTGGAAACGGGTCTAATATGGGGGAATTAGCCCCACATTAGGCCAAAAGATTAAATGGGATTGCAGACAAAAGACACAAAGAAGACGATGATGAAAAAAAAAGGAGGGAAAGAGTAAACCAAAAAAAAAGATCACATGACAAAATTATTAAAAGTAAAAGGAGACATTTTTTTTTCTTTCTGTTGAATCTTCTTGTGAAAGAGAGGTAAGGGAAGCTGCAAAACACAACCGCAAAAACAGCAAGAGAGAGAATCATGGGACCAAAATTGGGTAATAATCTTTTTTTTTCTTGTGTTTGCAAAAAAGAGAGAGAGAAAGAAAAAGACATATTTAGCTTTGTCACCTGTCCTAACAGAGAAAGAGAGAAGACCTAACCGACAAGTTAAAAAGCTAAGAAACAATTAAGGTGGATTAGTTAGTTAATCTATCCCAAGTTGTTCAGATGTCATAACAAAATCATAGTTCTCACAAAGACCTAATAATATCTTCTATATATGTCACAACAAGAGCTCTCAAAAGGTATTATATATACTTACCAGAAGGTGGGGTTGAAAACTAAAGCTTATTAAAGTTGTACAATGATAATTGTTAGTCAGGTGCAGTGCCGTGCCTATGACTTAAGAGGCCTATGGCTAAATTAAAATTGTGGCCTTTTTAATTATTAAAAAAAACTCAATTAACAAAATATCATCAAAAACTTTGGTAAAAAATAACTTCAATAGAGTAAGAAAATATGTAGGATGAATTATAAAATAATAAAAGATGAAAACAAAAAGATAAATGACAGTGATGATAAAAATCCAATAAGAAAAAAAAACTAAACATAAAAATTAAACAAAGTGATGATAAAAATCTAATAGGAAAAAAAAACTAAACAAGTAAGTTAAAACACATCTTGTTAATGTGGCCTAAAATTTTGAATATATGATTGTGGCCTAGGGCTGTTGCCCCAATTTTAACTGAGTAGGCACGGCACTGGTCAGGTGCATTGCTTTAAAGGGTCTTCTTCAGTCAAAAGGAAACTTTAATTTATACACACAAAGTAAATTTCACATATATACCTTATAGGAGAAGAAAACATTTGATAGTTTAAATCCATAAATCAATATCAATAGATTCACCACCACACAAACATTTCTGACGGTAGTACAAAAACATACTTGATTGAAACTTTTGGTTGTAATGTCTTCTCACATAATGGTTTGTTAAACCAAACATTATTGATACTTTTCCGGATTAATCTTGCTTTAACAACGACTCTAATATGGATCATTTCAGCAGTTAGATAACCTCAACAAATTCTCATATGGATCATATGCAACAAAGTCCCGTTACCACCAAATCTCTGCAATATAAAAACAAAAGCATAAACTCACAACAACTATGAACAAAGAATAAAAAAAATAGTAGCACCTACTTGATTGATTAATCAACAAAATATACATACATAATCGAAGTTAGGGTTTCTCATCAAACACGAAATGAACCAAAATATCTTTTGAATGTGTTACTTTACGCGGAATCCATAGGCATCAAAGAAGTTCAATAGAGTTTGAGAAACTGGTTAATGGAAAGCAAGGAAGTGAGCAAGTGATCAGAAAAAAAAATCAATGGAGGGTAAACAAATGCTAGGAGCATCAGTGAGAAGTTTTTTTTGGTAACATGCTAAATTTTAAACCATTTTTGAGATTCTTTATAAAATACGGAGATGCAACGAAGAGATACAGAAAACCGAAATCTACTAAATAAAAAACAATACGAAATGGGGCCACACAACGAAAAGAGCAAGCTTTGACGGAAGAAGACATGAAAAAGTCATCGGATCCGAGGCCAGCCCTCAATATCTCAAATCAAGTGGTGCTTAATTCCTAGCAAACTTCCAATTGGAGAGAAAGAGAGAACTTGGTTAAACAAGTTTCTCAGTTTTCCATTTTCCTATTTACATCCTAGTTACACTACGTGCCGTTTCTTTGTATATTTCTAAATTTTAGACAGCGTGTAGTTCTAGTAATATCAGTACAAACTACAAAGTACATGAAGTCAAGTTTTATTCTTGAATGAAATGTGTCACACACTCACACTCACACATACTTAAATTATGGGAATCTTGCAAAATGTAACACTTTTTGAAAAGTGGCTTTCAAAATCTACCACAATTGGAAAGAGTTTTCAAAATCTACCACATTTCATTGCCACATGCAAATTGTGGACGAAATTGCCCTTGATGGTGACAGACTGGTGTGTCAGATAAAGGGACAGACTGCTGTGTCAGATAAAGGGACAAGTTGCAATAAATGTTGCACCTTTACAATAGCATACAATTTTCTTTAAATAATATGTTATATGGGGACAAGTTTAGATCGAATGAGTAATATAATTAGATCGGGAACAAATTCAGATAGAATGGGTAATAGAATTAGATCGAGGACAAGTTTAGATCGAATGGGTAATAGAATTAGATCGGAGACAAGTTCATATCGAATGAGTAATAAAATTAGATCGGAGACAAGTTCAGATCGAATGAGTAATAGAATTCGATCGGGGACAAGTTCATATCGAATGAGTAATAGTACTCGTGGACAACTGGATCATTTCGTTAGTTTGCAATAGAAGAAAAAAAAATTCAATAATCCGGGTAGGTGAAGACAATAATGCTCAACTAATCTGTGGACCAAACTAGATGACCAAAATAGATGGTGAAAAATCTAAATAAAATTCGAAACCCTTAAATGAGAACTATTAGTGGACAAGATGTGGTATTCATGATAATAGAAAGATGATGAAATCGGGGACAAGATCTATACGCAACAGAAAATTTCCAATCGGGGACAAGATCTGGAGACAAAAACGAAAGTTAATTGTTTAGTCTCAAGAGATATAATGTTTCGAGGGAGAGAGATAAAAAGGGAAGCTAATGTTGTAGGAGAGATAAATAGGGAGAAGAGATAAATAGGGAGGGGAGATAAATAGAAAAAAGAAATAAATTAAGAAGATAAATAGGAAGGGTAAATTAGTAATTCAAATACTAAATGTGGTAGGTGTTGAAAGAAGGGAATGAATGTGGTAGATTTTGAAAGAAATTGAGAAAAAAGTGGTAGATTTTGTAGTTTTTCCTTAAATTATTATATGATTGGTAGAAAAATGATTTATACTTAAGAATAAAATTTCAAAATGACGTGTAACGTCGTCGTTGTCGGTAGACACAAAGCTCCATAAGACTTGACTATTATTATCTTCGAAATATCTCTCACAAACCCAAAACGTTTCTCCGTCTTCGAATCCGATCACGATGAACCCAACCCAAAAACCCGACCCGGTTTACGATATCGTCATACTCGGAGCATCTGGATTTACCGGCAAATACGTCGTCAGAGAAGCTCTCAAGTTCCTTCAAACACCATCTTCTCCGTTAAACTCTCTAGCTTTAGCGGGTCGTAACCCGACCCGTTTAACCCAATCACTCGAATGGGCTGCCCGCCCAAACCCGCCTCCTTCCTCTGTCGCTATCCTCACTGCTGATACATCTGACCCGGATTCACTTCGTCGTCTATGTACTCAGACCAAACTCATCCTCAATTGTGTTGGACCGTTTCGTATCCATGGTGATCCTGTTGTCTCTGCTTGTGCTGATTCAGGGTAAAGTGTGAATCTGAATCTTTTCCTCTGTTTTCTCAATTGTGTTTTAGATAAAGTTTATGCCTTTTTGAAGTTTGAGAACTCGTGACTGTTAACATTTGAGCTTTGTTTCAGTGATACTTACAAAGATCAAATTTTTATTGAGTTCTTGACAAATGATAAAAGTTGTAGCTTTTTAAAAAGTTAGAAACTTGATGAAAAAAGTGTAATCTTTTTAAGTTTCATTTGATTGCTGCTACATGGTTCTTTATAGGTATATATATAGGGACAAAAGTTGTAGCTTGATGAAAAATGTGTAATCTTGTTAAGTTGGTTTTTTGTAGGTGTGATTATTTGGATATAAGTGGTGAACCTGAGTTTATGGAGAGAATGGAAGCTAACTACCATGAAAGAGCAGAAGAGACTGGCTCTTTAATTGTTTCTGCTTGTGGTTTTGATTCAATTCCTGCTGAATTGGGTCTTCTCTTCAATGCTAAACAATGGGTACCTCCAACGGTTCCTAACCAGATCGAAGCGTACCTTAGCTTGGAGTCTGACAAAAAGATTGCTGGAAACTTTGGGACTTATGAGTCTGCGGTTTTAGGTGTTGCTAATGCGGAAAAGCTTAAAGAACTGAGACGTTCAAGACCAAGAAGGCCAAGACCATCGGTAAGTAATGCATTTAACGTAATGTGACATTGAAACACTTCTGCTTGAGATTGAGATAGGGTAATGTAAGTGTAAATGTATCTTTAGCTAGGGTTGATTTAAGTTTATTTCGTACATTCTTCATTAGTAGGCTTTGGCTTATATTGAACTCTGGAATGTATTTGCAGATTTGTGGCCCTCCTGCTAAAGGACCAACACTAGAAAACCAGAAGACGATTGGTCTTTGGGCTTTAAAGCTACCTTCAGCTGATGCAGTAGTTGTTCGTAGAACTCTCACAACTCTAACAGAGAAACCACATGGGCTTCCTGGGCTTAACGAAAGTCCTGAGCAGATACAAAAGAGAGAAGCATTCTGGTCATCGATCAAGCCTGCTCATTTCGGTGTAAAGATAACGTCTAAATCTCTCTTTGGGATATTCCGATATGTTACACTTGGAGTGTCCCTTGGTTTACTTTCCAAGTTCTCCTTTGGAAGATGGCTTCTTTTGAAATTCCCTTCGGTTTTCAGCCTTGGTTGGTTCCAGAAGAAAGGTCCAAGTGAAGAAGAGGTAGAAAGCGCTACGTTTAAGATGTGGTTCATAGGTCGTGGGTACAGCGAAGAGAGTCTAGCTTCACAAGGTGAAACAAAGCCTGACCTGGAAATTATTACAAGAATTTCAGGACCTGAGATTGGGTATATAACCACCCCAATAACACTTGTTCAATGCGGTCTGATAGTGTTGGGCCAGCGCGAAAGCCTAGTTAAAGGAGGAGTCTACACACCCGGCATTGTGTTTGGTTCAACCGATATCCAGCAGCGACTTGAAGAGAATGGTATATCCTTTGAGGTGATTTCAAAGATCAAGACTCAAAGATAAAAAGAGATCTCTTCTCCTGCTTTTCTATTCTGCTTTTAGTTGTTATGTTTCTCCATCTAATTAGCTCGAGTTCGAGCTTTTTAATCACAGTGAAGACAGTTTGATGGTAAGTTGTATTCCAATAATAATAAAACCGTTTCCTTTACTTTTACTATGGACATATGTACTCAAAACAGAGAATCTGGTTCTTAAAACTGGAAACAGACCATCCTAGTGAAAAAAATGGATGGTAAGAGAATCCCATAAATCATATTACTGTCTATCATTTACCAAAACTGCAGTCCCTGCTACAAAAAAAAACAAAACATTGTTGAGAAAGTGGTTCGTTTGCTGATGTTGTTTGATAATCTCCCGTTTGCCGATGTTGTTGTACATGGAAACTCTGTTTTCAGCCATTGAAGTGTTTTGCAGATATCAGCAGAGCTATTCAGGCCTCCTTTGTGGCTTAGTGATGAAACAGAACCGTTTAAAAACTCAAGTGTTGAATCCAGTGAGCTGAAAATGAGGCCTTAAGAGAGAGAAAGGTCATCGCGGGAAAGAAACTTTCCGAATTTTGAACAAGCTGGGCCAAAGAGTAACTCCAAGCTAAAATCAGGACCAGATATCGATCTTCCGTTACCACCAACTTTATCTAGCTCTCCTATGGAAAACTGCAGGAGCAAGAAATGGCCATTGATAAGAATGTCAAGAGAGAACAATGGCTTGAGGGATATTTCTTACCTGAAGCAAACCATTGGTTATAAAAGCTGTGTTGAAGCAAGTATAAAAAAGGCGGCTTCCAATCATTTTCTGGTAGAATGTGATGCGTATGTCTCCACTCACCTGTCCAAGAATCATATTCTTATCAACATCTTATCAAAAACATTGTCTGGAAGATGATTTGTTTTGTGACTTACTCTCACAGGTTTGTCAAAGTAGAAATCAAGACATGTTTTCTCGTCGATAATGGAACTCTCTGTATCCATTTGAACAACAAGACGTGGCTCTTCTCCATCTGTTACTTCCTCATCTTCTTCTGAATCACAGTTCACATGAGATATATAATACCGTGGACTCGAGCTTCTACAATACCCTTTCTTGAATTGTCTACAACAACCTCTTGCAAGTTCTACAGATGGTCGATACATCTCATTTGGAACCTAACATCATAAATAGCATCAAAGTGTATATATTAAGAAGCAGCAGAGTCTGCAATGCATCAAAGTGTATATATCATTACCTCCTGAAGTTCCGAGACCACAAAGAAGACAGAATCAACGTTGGCTGTATCGTAAAGTCTAATTCTCAGCAACTCTCTGCTATGTTCTTGAGGTAATTTAACCTCGGGAGGTCCCTTTTTACGAAACGAAAGTAAATCTGACCAGTATTTCACATAACGACGTTGGCTTGGTATTGAGACCTGTCATGGTATTGTTTATTAGCTTGATTCTCTATTAATCCGTAGCTAAATTAAGGACTTACTCCATTATTGTTTGTTGTTCTTCTGCTTGCATACATCTCAAGAGCTTCTTCAGCTGACATTCCACCGTAAACAAGGTACGCCGATACCATTAGCCCTGTTCTGCCTTTTCCTGCCTGCACAAAGTACATTAGAATATGAAAATGCAACAATGTGGAAGAAACCGGGTTGTGGTTTTAAGAACATACCATGCAATGAACAACCGCGATGTTCTTGGGATCTAATGAGAGCCAAGAATGAACACTTTCGCAGAAAATTTGGATCATTTTGAGAGATGGAACATGATTGTCATCAAACGGAAATCGTTCCACGCGGCCATAGAAGTTGTCTGGATCATAAGATTCCTCTATACATAGATTATAGACCTGACCAAATTTCAATGTTAATAAAAAAGCTGGTTAATTTTCTTGATTGATATTTTGATATTGGTCATTTTTTTATGGACCTTATAATGATCAGGATGTCGCATATCGAGCACGGATTTGACTTGCCAAAGAGGGTTTCTATAAACTGCTCTCATTCGTTCAGCTGGAAAAGACATTGCCAATAATTTGTCAGAGATGTAAGACATGTCGAGATCATATCCACCGATGATTAACCGTCTTCGTTTCTTGGACACCAAGCTACGTAGGTAAGAACTTGTGCTAAGGTAAGTTAGAATGTGAACCCTCGTGAATTCCAAAGTTGATTTTTCTTTTACAGGCCCTCTTGAGAGCTTGAGACCCATTCTGAAGGAAAGAAACATATCATTAGGTTAGGTAACGTACGTCGCAAGAAAAACGTTATGATCAAAGGGTTTATTACCTGAAGAATTGAACATGAAGTTGAGGAAGAGATATTCAGGTTCCCAAATTGAGGGAATTGGGAACCCGAGAAAGAAGAAGATGTCGCGAGGTAATACAAAACGAAAAACTTCAACTTTTTGGAGGAAATGGGTTTTGTTACCTGAATAGAGATAATGGTCATTCATAGAAGAAAACGATGAACAACGATGCAATTCCATTTTTGGAGCTCCTGAAATTTAGCCAAGCTTCCCTTTAAATTTAGGTTTTTCTTTCTACTCTTATATTCTCTTTCTACATTTAGCGGTTAGTTTTGGCGGGAATGTATAAGGGTATATAAGAAGAGTGATCATTTTGATTCTTCAATTTTTCAAGCTTCCAGCTTTCGTTTCTAACAAGTAAAGATTCCATTAGTAAGAAGAAAACTATATATATATATATAGATATATATATATCTATTGCTTGAGTATGGCATTTGGGTATCCATTCATGTTCGGTCGGTTCCATTCGGTTCAGGGTAGTTTGGTTAGGGATTTTAAGATTCATGAGGGTATTATAGAGCAAGAGAACCGTTTGGGTATATCCGAATTATCCATTTTTTACTTTTATCATTGGATCTAGTAAAAAAAAATTAGGACATAAAAATAGAACAACAAATACATCTTAAATGCATTTTTTAGATAGCTCAAATAAAATTGGTAAAATATAGATACTTCGGATATATAAACATACTACTCAAATTGGTAAGTACCATATTCGTATTCGGGTATTTCACGTAATTGCAAATTTTTTTGGCAATTTTGAAGAAATACTACGAAATTTTTCGGATATTTTATAGATATATTTGTTTGAAAAACTATCGATAATTTCAATAATTTAAAAAAGTTTAGATAATTTCGGTATTGTTACTAGACTATATTAGGAATATGACGTTAATTTTTATTTTCTTTGGTTTGATTTTAGAAATTTTTAAATAGAAAAAAATTTAAAATAAATATTTAATAATGAATTTGTTTTTTTAGTATTTTCTCAATAAAATACCATTATATAAATAATACGATTACAAACTGCAATGGGTATATCAATACAAAGGAGACAGCTTAATCAAACTTACCAAACTTACCACTTACCACTAGAGCTGAAGGTGGCCATATATGAGCATATGAAGTACAAGGAAGCTTGAAATGCCAACTTAATTTATAAGTGCTAATAAAATAATTAAATATACTAATTTGATAATTTCTCACTAAAAGCCATCTTTAATTTTAAATCAGAATTTGAGATATTTTAAAACGTTAACGGCGTTTGTTTTTTTTTCCGTTATCTTTAGACGAAGCCGTTAAAGTGGTACTGTTAGGTTTAGGTTTAATAGTTATCGTATCATTTTCACCAACTCTTTGCCGCTTTCTTCGCAATTTTGAAGGTTACATGGACGAAGACGAAGAGAATCATGTTCGTACCAAAGGATCATGTTCTCCTGAATCTTCCGACAAAAGATCTGGTAATGAAGTTGATTGGGTAAGAGATTTGCCAGAATGTTTGCTTTTACATGTTCTCCTGAATCTTCCGACAAAAGATGTAGTTAAGAGTAGTGTCTTATCCAGCAAATGGAGAAATCTCTGGAGGTATGTTCCTGGTTTGGAATTGGACTGTCGTGATTTCACGGAATTCAATGCTCTTGTGAGTTTTATCAACAGCTTTCTTCTGAGTTTCAACCGTGAGACATGCTTAACCAAGTTTAAGCTAAGATGGGGATACTCTTGTCTGGCGGTGGATCAACGTTGTTATTAAGCGGAAAATTCAGCATCTCGATGTTACGTGGCCTGTAGTTGAGATACCTCGAACACTTTACAAGTGTGAGAGCTTAGTATCTTTAAAGCTCTCTGAAGTAACCTTGCCAAAGACCGACTTTGTGTCTCTACCGTATGTCAAAGTTATGGTTCTAGATTGGGTTGAGTTTTACAATGATTTGTCTTTGGAAATGCTTATCTCAGGCTGCTCAGTTCTCGAAAGCTTAACGTTATGTAGAAGGTACGGTGACAATGTAAAAGTTTTACGTGTGAGCTCTCAATCTCTATTGAGCTTCAACTATAACGGCTCTAGTAGTAAGTCTTTTCGTGATGATCTAGTAGTTGTAATTGATGCTCCCAAGCTTGAGAATCTCATGCTCTCTCATCAATTAACTGCAAGTTTCATAATAAAGAATCTGAGTTTCCTTGTAGAGGTGGATATCGATATTGAGTTTAACTTTTATCTTTCTTGAGTGTTGACTTCTATGACCGCAGATGGAAAATATTGCCATTCTTTCTTGAGAGCTGCCCGAATCTAAAATCACTTGTCGTGGTAAGGATTGTTTACTTCAAACTTATTTACTTACTTTCTTTGGTATATTCAAATGGGGAAAGTAACATAATTACTCAAAATTGTTTTGTTCACTCTTGGTTGTAATTAATATCAGGAATCTACTTATTTTCCAAAGAAGAGAACTAGTATATTATCTCAACCTCGGCGTCTCCTATCATCTCTCGAGTATGTTAAGATAGAATTGTCATTGGACAAGAGGGGGATGAAATTAGTGAGGTACTTACTTGAGAACTCACCAATCCTCAAGAAACTCACTCTATCTTTGGATAATTGTTCTAGAAAGAAATCTGTGATCATCCTCAAAAAACTCCTTAAAATTCCAAGACGCTCTAGCTCATGCCAAGTTATCGTACTCTGATCCTTGTTGACGAACATACAAGGTTGTCTTTCTGTACTTTTATTAATACAATAAACTCTGTGTTTTCTTCTTCATTGTGGTGACTTTGTTGAATTGTAGATCGTAAGAAGATCATGTTTGTTTTAAGTTTTTTAATTGAACCAAAAATGTAATTATAAGGTTCGTGTAAGAGCCAAGGATTAAAGTTTCCAGAATCTCTTTATTAATGTGAACTATGTGCTTTCTTCTTCATTGTGGTGACTTTGATGTCTTGTATAGAGATCGTAAGGAGATCTTATGTTTGGCCTAAATGTGTAATATTACTTCTTTTGACTCAAAGACATGTTTATGCTCAATAATACTTCACACGTGGAGTAGAAAAATAGTAGATTACATAAAGGAAAAGATAAAACACAAGATGCTTCAAATTTAACCAAAAATGGTATTAGATAAGACCCAAGGATTAAAGTTTCTAGGAACTAAATTATAATTAAACTCCTGGACAGTGGACAGTTAAGGTCTTATCTCTGGAACCATTCCTCGGGACATCGAGAATCTCATAAAACTGCAAGAACTCAAATTAGAAACAAATATGTTGATAGGAGGACTTCTAGTCTCTTTCGAGAAGCTTTTGGAATTGCGGGTGTTGGCTCTATATTCAAATGCGATATCGGGGATAATACCATCTTATCTTGGCAACATGACTAAGTTGCTAAAGCTCCATTTGTTCAACAAGGATGTTGTCAAAACTTGCTAGACCTATGGATTGATGCAAATATGTTGAATGAGACTATACCTCGGTAAATACTGCATATTCTATCACTTGCTTACATAGACTTGTTTAAGAAATTTCTTGACCGGCCGTTTTTCGGAAGAAGCTGTTTCCTACAACAGATTTATCAGGACAGATCCCACAATCTGTCCACGAGCAGAGGAGGCAACAACCCGGTTGATGAGTGGGTGAGACTGGTTTTGCAGGTGGGAATTAGGTTTTCTGAAGAATATCCAAGGGATATGATGAGAATGACTGAAGCAGTACAAGAATTAATCTCAACCAAGTCTAAGTTCTCCTCATGAATGGATATTAAAGGCGAAGATGCATATATAGTCACCTTCTCAACTACTTATGGGGACACATTGAATGTGTCTTTACTTCGTGCTTCATGGTAACATAGAGACTACTCTATTGCAAGAATGATAATCTTACTTATGATGTTAATAATTTTTCATGGGTCAGAAAGAACAGTTCAACCTTTTTATATATGATTTTAGGGCATAAACGGGTTGTTGTGAAATTTCCTTTTCTTTCGGTTCAAGTTTTGTGATTGCTTAAATGGTTTTGTGATTGCTTCAAGTTTGGTCTCAAATGAGATTCAGTGGTTCTATTTCTATACCAAGATGTGTGTGTATCTATCTTGCTTCAATGATTTGTCCACTTAGATATAATGATTAAAGTGGCCAGAGTTTTAGCAAGAAAGGTAAGAGTGAAAAAGCTTCTTTAGTGTTTCTTTCAAGTTCATCCACTTTACATGCATTCATATATGCTTATGTATTCACTTGTTCACCAAAATATGCAAATCTATCCGTTTAAACCGTAACCATTTGGACCTTTTAACACACAATAATTGTTTTTTGAATTTGATGAGCGAGGTTATAACAATCTAGAAAATATACAAATAAAATGATTTAAGATAGAAACCTCTAAAAGTAATCTCAAAGGCAAAGAATAAAACATACAAAGCAAATTAATTTATAGCCTTTTGTTGATTTGTGTAGCCTTTTGTTGATTTGTGAGTCTAAGTTTTCTTACAAATTAAAACATTTTTTATAGTGGCAACTAAATTTTGGAATCCTTAACTAAAAAGCGCACACGCTATATCATGATATTTTCTTACAAATATTAAAATAAAATTTGATTATTTACTGCATTTATATCCATAAAAAATATTCCAAATCAAATCTCTAGTCTAGAGAGAATGTTCATCAATTTAAACTTTCTATACTAACATTGCACCATATAATACTATTTTCGCAAGTTTTTGACAAATATTACAGAGAATACAAGAAAAAAGAAAGACCGAAAACTACATAAATCACCAAAAACTACAACACAAGCAGAAAACAGAAAGAAAGCACAAGTGAAAACTCTACAAGTAAAGACCAAGGAAAAAACACCGATTCCGAACCACAAAATACGGTTTTGTTTTCTGCTTCTTCGTTTTGTGTCAACTTCTAAAGGTTTTTAGATTGTATATACGAACCTTCATCTACCTTATAATACAATGTTGCATTAGTTCTGTTAATATTTCAATTATAGTATATGTCTGAAATCTGAAGACGTCAGAAAAAAACTTTGAAAGAGGCGAAAAGATTGCTTTGAGGTTGGAGATAGTATTTAATTTAGAAACCGACCACTCATTAATCATCATTAAAATATGTATGTTTTTCAAAACTAACTTTCTTATTCCTCCAATGAAAATGTAAAGGAGACTCGGAATAGCTTATTGCCTTATTCAAATGATTGGTCGGTTATAGCGTTGAGAAAAATCAAAAAAAAAAAAAAAATCAAATCAAATGAAAACTGAGCTTTCATACTTTCATGAGCTGGGTTGTGATGTGTTTGGTTTACTATTTTATATTTACTTTAGCTTTCAAGAGTTTTAAAAAAACTTTTACCATTTGTAGGAAATTAAGTTATAAAATATACCACAAAATATATCAATATCAATGCAATAAGTATTTTCTTAAAAATCAACAAAATAGTATAAAATTTAAACTCTGAAACTTTAGATTATAAACTCCATAAAGCGGCTTTTCTTACGATTAAAAGTGAAAAACATGATTTTCTTTGTTTGATTGGGTAAACGACTGCCGAACATCGCTAAAGACTTGAAAATTTAATTTTCAATCTTCGATGTCTATCCATAATTATAGTTATAGTTAATTCTTATAATTATTCCTATATATTATCTAAAAGTATAGTAAAAAAAAGTTTATATTTATTTCTTTACGTTAAAATTAAATTTATTTCAAATGACAATAACATAAAATAAAAGATTAGATAACACTAACATTTAATAAAACTTGGAAAGTAATAAATTGAATACCAACACTTAATTTGGAACAATGACTATAAATACTCAATCAAATAAACAACACTTAATTTGGAACAATGACTATAAACAAATAAATTAATGAATAAAATACATAATTGAATTAAAAAAAGTTATTAATTTATTTATTACTCAACTCCGGTTTGGGTCCGGTTCCAGTATACAAAACCGAACTAAACCGAACCATGTGATGAAAAGTAAAGTTCCGTACTTTTTATATAACCCCACAAGTTTCTTCTAAAATCTAAGAGAGGTTGCAAAAATATTAAATACGATCTCTCTGATTCTGCGACGAACGCGGAAAGCGAAATTGGAGAAGAAGAAGACCAGTCACCACCACCAACGTAAAGGAAACCCAAAAAGTCGGAGGCCAAAATAAAAATAAACCCTTTATTTTAAGTCGCTTGCACGATCTCGGAGAAGGAAGAAAACACCGACCCAGAAGAAAAGGATTCAGCTTTTCTCTGAATTCGTCATTCTCTTTGAAAAAGTATTTTTCTTTTTTTTTTTTCTATTGAATCAGTTCTCAAAACTTTTTTTTGATCATTTAATCGGTAATGTGAATATTTTCTTACAATTTTCGAGGGTTTTATTTAGTTTTGGGATTTAGGATTTGCTTAAGAAACGTAAAGTATGGATCTTTATGCTTCAAGATGAAGTTTAGCTTTATAGTTTTATTCATTTTATTTTATTTGATTAAAGAATACTTCAAGCTACTTTGCATTTATGACATTTTGTTTGCTTAGTTTTCGAATAACTTATTTGCTCTGTTTTTGTTTATCAGATTTGTTCATTTGAGAGCCAAGATCCAAGCTTGCTTAACTAAATTTGAAACCTTTTGATAGGTAATGAATGTTCTTTGCTTTGTAGTACAAAAATGGTCGTTTTAAGTTTCAGAAAAAAAGGTTTAAGTTTTGGAATCTTGTGGTGGATTGGATAAATATTGTTGCTTGATGGATTATCTTATGACATTTCCTATTTTTAGTGGGTTTTTTTACGGCTCAAAGTTTTGGTTTTTATGTTTTTAATTAGTTTCTGTTAGGGGTTTTTGTGTTTAATCTCTTCACTGATCTGTTTTTGAGTTGTCTACTCTTTAAAATTCACAAACAAATGCAAATTTAGACGGCTATATTGAGCAGTAACTCTTGCAAGAAGTAATTTGTATATATATGTGTTTTTCTTGTTTGTATATATATATGAAGTAGTGATTATGTTTGATTTGGTGTTTATGTCTGAAATTATGAACAGATTGTTGTCTCTTTCTGGTGCTTCTTGATGGATGAAGACGCTGTGAAACCGTTTGGAACGACTGAAATGATGAATAAGGAAGACGGTTCTAGTCCGGGAGGTGATTCTACAGGGAAGGCAATGGCTTCAAAGTCTAAAGAGAAAAAGATCCCTCATTACCTCAGAGCATCCACTGGTTCGTGTCATGATTTGTGCAAGTATGGGAAGAGACAGATACCTGTGGAGAAACCATGGCGTTCGACTACTAAAAAGATCTTCAAGAAATCTCTTGATGATGATTTGAATGAAACTTTGAAGCCGGGTTCTTCTAAAGTGAAGAAGGTAATGGATGTCAAGAAAAAAATGGTTAGTGATGATTCTTCTGAGGTGATTAAAAGAGAGGTTGTGAAGCATCAAGTGAGTGGTGTCTCTAGTGGGGTGAAGAAGCCAGAGGTGTTGATAATATCATCTGGTGATGAAACTCCTGTGAAGCAGATGAAGAAGAAGACACCATTAAGTTCCAAACTTAAACCTTCACCAGATTTGGGATCTCGTACATCACGAAATGTTGATGCCCTGAAGCCGAAAGTTTTAACAAAATCGTATTCAGCACTAGCAACATCGAAATCTAAGGTAAACCATGAGCATGTTGCTTCACCAGTTTTGAAACCTAAAATGGGTAACAGAAGTGAAGGAAAAGACGAAGATGCAAAGATAAAGAAGGTTACAGTTTCCTCAAGAGTTGCTTCTAAGAAGGTTCCGGTGAATCCTAGAGCGTCGCTTTCTCCAAGATTATCACTAAGACTAGCTGGAAATTCAAGTTTGAGAAAGAGTCAGAGCTTAAAGGCTGGCTCTTCCTCTTCTTCTCGACAAAATCAGAAACCAAAACGTGTGAATCACACTGATGAATCTAATAAGCAGTTGGATGATTATCCAGTCGAGGAGAAAACATTGCACGTTGTTGAAATGGAAACAACTAACAATGTCGTCTCTGAAAATGATCAGAATCCGCAAGGTTTTGTTGAACCTTTTCTTCCTCCTCTTCCACCGACACACTCAACTCCAAAAGATGATGAGTGTACTGTTTCAGAAACAGAGGAGTATGAGTACACTTCAGGAAGCAACGAAGCCGAGAGCGAAGAAGAAGAGATTGGATTGTCCAATGGAGAGAAAAAAACAAGAGCGGCGAGAAAGGAGGGTGATTCTGCAGATGAAGCTGCTCGGAAGTTACGTTTCAGAAGAGGAAAAATTGTGGATGCTGATACTGTGGGTGAGAAGGCAAGGAAGCTCAAGTTTAGACGAGGAAGGGATCTAGGGGAAGACAAAGCGCAAGATGCTCAAGTTAGGAGAAGCTTTAAGAAGAGGGAAGATATCAGAGAAGAAGAAGTCGATGAGGATGGTGAAAAAGTTGTGCTGAGGCATCAAGATGTTCAGGAGAAAGATGCACAGGGACTGTTCAACAATGTCATTGAAGAAACAGCGAGTAAACTCGTTGAAGCTCGAAAAAGCAAAGTTAAAGCTTTGGTTGGTGCTTTTGAAACCGTCATTTCTCTTCAAGAATCTTAGAACCTTTTGCTAACTCTGGTATGTGCATTGGGCATGCATGAGCAAAAGCTAACATTGAATCTTTGATTTTCTAGTAGTAGTTTATTTGGTTTTGGTTTGGTCTGCAGAAACTGGTAATCTAGATTGAGCCGGTTTGAATCGTTTCGGTTTGTTGAACCTGAAGAAGATTGATGCTTCATACAAAGTTAAAGGATATGTCTCTGCCAAACATTAATAGTGTTGCTTTGTGAATAATACTTTGATGGATTGTGGTTTGTGTTTGGTTTTGGTTCTTCTAGACCGGTTTGTTGGTTTTCATTGGATTGTTTGGGTTTATGGTTCAGTTTGTATAGAAAAATTCTGGTCTGTTTTCTTACATTTGTTGTTGGTTTTTGTCTTCTTGTAAGAAGAAGCACTTTCAATAGGTTCTGGTTTTCTTTCTGCTTAAACCGGATCGTAAACCGTATTTTCTGGTTTTGCATAACACCGATCGTTATTGGTTTATGAACAAATGAATGATGGCCAACCTGAAAATGCCACGTCATCTAAACCACGCTAGTAAAAGCACAAAAGCAGAGCATATTCGGCATATAAGTGTGATTGTACATAGTCTCATCAACACGAGACATAATCTAGTAAGCCAAATTCAAATATTTGATTTTGAAATTTTTCTTGTTCATACCGTTGTACATATCTCTATTGAGAGATCGATGAAATCGACCTAAACCAAATCGAGATCGATGGAGATTACGAACCAAAATCGAAATATGATTATGGAAATATGGTGGATTCGCATATCCGAGTTTAGGATATTTAGTATTATCTCTAAATATATTATTTATATTTAGTTTATTTTAACCAGTGTTCTAAAAAGCGGTCTAGGCGGTCGCCTAGGCCCCGACTAGGCGCTAGGCTGTCATGCGACGCCTAGATAACCGCCTTGACTGCCTAAATTTACATAGATCTTGTTTAATGTATTTTTTCAATTTCAATTAGAGTTTTATTTTTATATATATAGTTATAAATATTCATATATTGTTTAATATAAATATAAATAAATGTTTTATCTAGTTTTTGTTTATAATTTCATAATTTTTAGTTTTATATAACTTTTATATATAATATTATATTTATAATGTTTTATGTTATCAACGTCTAAACCGCCTAAAAATCGCCTAGGCCCCGATTAGGTGTTTGAAGCGCTAGGCACTGGATCACCGCCCGCTTAGCGCCTAGCGCTTTCTTGAACACTGATTTTAACTTAGAAAACTTAGTTTTATTCCATATTTATATAAGAGAATGTGTCTTGTATCTTTATTCTTATGAGAATCTACTATAATTCTTTCTATCGTACTATAAAAAAAAAGAACATGACGACGTTGATGTCATCACCACTACAAAGATGACATGACCAGACAATACAGCTTGGTACGAAGATGTCCGGCGGGTGACGAATTCGAATCTGATCATGACAACTACACAAGTTTCTTCATGAACGAGAAGTTCGAAGAGCGGCCAAGACTTGTAATCGAAAACTGTTGGAAATAGAAAACTACGATGATGTATTCTCTATGTGGCTCTCCATTAACTATAAACATGATGATGACCCAAGACCGGGGTATAAACGTCGACGGCCTAACGGTTAGGTATTGTAACAGCTTTGACCCTACGATCGGTATAAACGTCGATGACCTAACAGATAGGTATTGTAGCCGATTTGACCCTACGACTCGATTTGACTCGACAGAAAGGTATAATGTCGTTATTTTGAAGATATGTCCAATCTCACATGTGTTACCATGTATGCGCTTGCCAGGGGTATTAGGAGATCGATGAGATCGATCCAAACCAAATCGAGATCGACAGAGATTACGAACCGAGATCGAGATATGATTATAGAAATATTGTGAATTTAGAATATCTAAATTTAAAAAATTTAGCATTATTTCTAAATATATTATTATATTTTAAATTTATTTAAATTTATTATAATTCTTGCTACACACTTTTGTATTTTTACTCTAATCAATTTACCAATCTTTTTTAACATTTGGTGATATAAAGTTTATATGAGCTATTGTTGTCCTGATTTTTACACATTTAGAAAATTTCTCTTCTCTCAGCTCTTTTAAAAAGCGTCCATACACATCCTTGGGAGCTAAATCACGTGGAACTCGAACGTTCTCCAAATCCCACCATCACAACCATCAAAGTCAAAATCAATTAGTCCCACATTTGCTTTTAAACTTTACTTAGAATTAATATCAAAGACTTTGACCGAGTGCTAAAAAATTTTGGTAAAAGTTTTGACTTCCAAAAATAATTTGTTACATAAAATAGTGAACAATTATTACAAAATGTAGTTGTATCTTTCAAGGTTTTATCAATAACATTCAGATGACAAAAAAAAAAGATATCTCATAATTCCAAATGTTACGCATATTGGTGTTTATACATGCACCCATGGACATATATTTAGACCGGTTCGGTCCTTTTAAGGTCTAGGACGACTGGTCAAATCCATCACCACTTTTGTATATCTTAAACCATATATAGCTATAAACAAAAATCAGCTAAACCCTACCAACAAAATTCTATTTTAAATTGATTTATATAAGACTAGTTTGTATGTACAATGTAGTCTTTAATGATCTAACATTGTAACTATGAGATAGAGTTTTATGTTGTGGTCTCCTCTCTTGCAAGTTAAACTACTAATCAAAAGCACAATGTAGATAAAATTGTCCATCATAAATCGTTAATTACATAGAAAATTACGCGTTCAAAAATCGTCTGAAAAAACTGGTTTCTTTTTTTTTTTTTTTTCTCTTTTCTTGTAACACATGGGATAGTATTTTCAGGTCTTATAACCTTTTTAAATGATTATTTCATTGTATCTAAAATTTGAGAAAGAAATTGAGTCTGCAAAACGTTACGTTTTTAGAGTGTCTGAAAATGTTGAAAATTGGAGATTATGATTACAACATGTTGTCGCCTTATGCACCACAAAAGCAGAGTATATGAGTCTTACAGAGAGCATGCATCAAGGATAAAAAGATTGCTAAAAGAAGTGGTTTTGTGCAATAAAAATATGAAGTGATAACGGCGACAGTCTGAGAGCTATATACATTATTGTCTAAAAATATGAAACGAAATGTGAGGCACTAACTATTCAATTACTGTTGACATTAATTCCTATAAATAAAAACTTGTAAATTAGAGATCAAGATAATTCGGCATGTACTTCATAATTTTACTTTGTAGTTTATAACGTGAGAAGGTTTCTGTATTTTCTGCTATTGATTTACATGCTACTGATCTTTATAGTAAAATAGACCAAAACATTATAAGATATAAATAGAATCCTTCTCCCATAAATAAAATTCCTTGCGAAACACGTCGTTAGATTACCGAGGTTCAATGGCCGAGTAGGTTACTTCGGCCACAGTCCAAGATTCTTCGTTTAGCTTCTTTCGTGACGAGGAACCAGTCTCAAGATGACTTCTACGGACTAAATAACCAGGCGGTCCAGGCGGAGCGATCTCCATTGTGTCGCTTGCGAACATGATTGCATCGTGGGTCTATCCTCTGCACGTTCTTGAACACACAAGAGACCAATCTGTATGCATCTTTTAACTTGGTGTGGTTGAAATGTTGATGAATCAAGGATAACTTGATCTATGATGTCGAGCCCTTTTCCTTCCTTCCAATTCCTCCATATCTGTTCACCATAAAAAAAGCTTTAAGCGTTTATCAATCACAACAAAGAAAAAGAAGACGAAAATGCTTTGGATGATTATTACATTTACATATGTAAGAAGACTTTCTTCGTTCTCCGAGTATATATAAAAGTCTCTGTTTTTCACTCCAAATATAATCTCAAGAAGCAAGACTCCAAAGCTGAAAACATCTGACTTTGTTGAATAAATTCCGCCCTCCGCGTATTCGGGAGACATATAACCGCTTTGTCAGGAAACAAGAAACACAATTGTGAGTTTTTGTAAAGTGTTTGCTTTATTTCCAAATGTAAAGATGATGCTGATAGTTTGTTTGCTTACAAAGTTCCAACGATCTTTGTTGTGTTAGCTGCTGTCGTACGCTTGTCGAAGAGTTTACTCATCCCAAAATCTGATATCTTCGGAATCATATCTTGATCAAGTAATATGTTGCTCGGTTTAAGGTCCCTGTGGACCATCGGACGCCGCGAATCTTGGTGAAGATATAAGAGTCCCCGAGAGATTCCATTAATAATTTGGACCCTCTTCTCCCAGTTTAGCTTAGAGCTTTGGCTTTTGTCTAAGAAAACCAAAATCACATTAGTGTCTTTTCAATAACTTTTAACCTTAAAATACAACTTCTTAAACTGTGAGGCACTAACCGAATATATACTTATCGAGGCTAGAGTTTTCCAAGTACTCATATATTAAAATCATCTCACCACCCTCAAAACAGTATCCCAGGAGCTGGACGAGGTTGACGTGTTGGACACTGGCGTTCAGACTCAACTCATTCTTAAATTCATCGATACCTTGAGTTGACATCTTCAACAATCTTTTCACAGCGATTTCTTGTCCGCCAAGTAACCTTCCCTGTTATATGTATATTATATAAATTACACGGAATTTACTGAACTAGTAGATATCTTATGTGTTAATGTACCTTGTAAACAATACCAAAACCACCTTGACCGATTTTATTTGAATCCGAAAAACCTTGGGTCGCCACTACAACAGTTTCAAGTGTCATTTCCTCACAATGTAATTCTCCTGATATAGTCATTAGAAGAAAAAAAATACTTACTCAAGTGAAAAAAAAATAAGTTCCATTCTGACACAAATATGAAGAGAAAAAAAAAAAGATTATCACAAATGTACCAATAGGTGCGGCGATTGCTTTTGTTGGCGGTCTCTTTTTTCTTTTCCAAACGCAGACCATTATAATAAAACTTAGAAGAAGCAAAATAACACCTCCGACAATAATAAATACTAGATCCTGACCCGCACATGCGTGCGGGATTTCATATTTAAAAATATGTTTTAAATAAAATTTAATTCAATATAGATTCTTTTATTATTTTGGTCATATATATAGATTCGGATCTGCGCGTACGTGCGGAGTAATGTTTGTATATTTATTTGGTATACCATTCATAATTTGAATTCATATCAGTTTGGTATTTTGTTTGGTTTCATTTCAGTGTAAACAGAATGAGTGAGTTGATTTGATTTTGTTATTAGACAATTACATAGAAAAGATAATGAGAAAAAGTAGTCTCGTCCCGTCCCGTTGCCTATTTTAAAATTTTTCGTCACATAATTGTTTTTTTAAAAATAATTACCTATCTGAGAATGTTTAATCTAGTTCAACATATAAGAGAACGGGTAAGAGATTCAGATAGAATATCCATATTTCTCGTACTTTCCCTTTCGAGATTTAATTTTTACAAAATAAATAGAACCTATTGACATTATTGAATATATAATGGTGTAAATTTATAAAAACGGATATTGTTCTTTGTTAATTAGGTAAGCCGAAACAAATTATAACAAATAATATATTATTTACCATATTTCTATATCAATTTAAATCAGTAATTATATGCATTTAATTCGGATCATATTTTTAAAGAATATTTTCACTTTCGTGTAATAGTAAAATTTTGATTTTATAGTATTTTCTATATATTTTCTAAATTACTAAAAATCTTACTTAATTACTAAGAATATGAATTTAATCTTCAAAAAAAACAATAATTGAAAAAAAACAAAGAAAACTAATGAATATAACGTTGGTTGAATTTCAAATCATTATTTAATTTTAAATAATGCTCTTAAATAATTTTGAAAAAAATAAATCCAAAAATATTTTTTTCTAAATTAATTCAAATTAACTCAGTTTGAATTAATTTATCTTGCAGGTTAAGTTTGGATTTCCTAGATTTTCCTAAAATTATTAATAACTGTTTTTAAAAAATCACGATTTTTGAGGCAATATATTTGATTTTCCTATTTTATATATTTTCCTTCTCTAAATTTAAAAAACCTAATGGCAATCTAAGTAATATTCCATAAACTAAAGGTTACTTAATATTTTGTGCTTCCCAATTAATAGTATAGATTATTTTTGTATTATTTTTTCCTTCGTCCCCTAAAAACAAGTAAAAATGTCACAAAATTTATCATGTTATTTATGTTCCATGATGAATATATATTTTTTTATGTCATCACGTAATCGTATATGAGTGTTTCGGTATTTTCTAACCACATCCGGCATCCCATGTATTTTATTTGCCACAATATGATATGTTACGTAAGTGTATATCTATTAATTATTATTCATTTTTGAACAATCATCATTTTTAATATTTAAAAAAAAAAACTACTTTTGTTTTATGTGCTAATTTGCTAATATATTCTCACTAAAAATTAATTATAACTCATGTGCCTAATATTTTTTCTATATTTCAATGGAAACAGTGTTGTTTTTTCTTTTTTTTTGTGTGGAATATATAACAATAACTTCCGATCCCTTATTAACGTAAATCTTTTTAATATCTAATATGAGTTGTTTTATCAAACATCCCATATCCATTTTTCTTTTGTTAAAGTAAACCAGCAGAGTTATTGTATATCGTTCAAAAGTCAAAACCAAACTGTTTGGTTTGATTAAAGAATCGTGATATATTATTACTAGAAGCTATTATGATGACATGTAAGTTTTCTAATAGATGTAAAACTATAGTCACTAAAAAACATGTGTTATGCATCCTCGGTTTAAGGCTTAATCGAATAGATTTAAACAAAAACAGAGCATGGAAACATAGAAACAGAGCAATGGCCGAAGTCACCTCCTTGTCGCAAACCAAAGTAATTAGATAATTTTTAAAGTGAGGTGATTAATATTAACATTGTAAAATTCTTTTAAGAAATCATTTTGCAATGATAATTTTTCTGAAAAATATATAACCTATTTTAATATTTTTTTTTTTTTATAAAATTAGTTAGATTTGTATGTAGTTTTTGGAGGGAGAAACTAACCGATATCAATGGCTTCCATCCTAAGTCTAACATAAAGATCTTGACCAGCATTCTTGTATTTCCGGATATCGAGTAGCTCTCCTACCCAAATAACACAACCTGATCCACCATTTTCCATATTTGCGTTCGCGTATGCTGTACAGTTGCATTTCGCTAAGCACTTCTTCTTGCATTCCTTCAACCCAAGTTTCATGTCTACAATTGACATTACTGTATCTGGCAGCTTCATGGTCTGCAACTTCAAGAATTGATCACCATTGCACCTCGACTGTGTCTTCCGCACACACCCTTCTTGCTGTCTCGCCTTAAACCCTTTGATGCAGTTACAAATTGGTGAGGTGTTTATGTCACAGAGACCATTAGGACCACACATGTTGTACACATGGCACATATCATATTGTTCTGGTAATAAATACCCTATCCACTTCAATTCCCCTGAAGTTGGGATCCATGTGGACCGGTTCAATACTCCGGTACCGTCTATCCTCAGTATCGAGAAAACGTTACCGTTAGTTACGCTAAATGAATAGCTGATTTCCTCACTCTTCATAGTAATGTTTTCGGTTCCGTGCGTCAATTTTCCAATCACGTTAATGTCACTTACACTATTCCACGGACCAATTCGGAGTGATGGCTCACCCTTTTCCCGTATGTAGCTCTCAGGAGGCTCACGGATTTCTACTTTGTAAGTGTAATCGCCAGTTGAAGGATCATTAAAGCCTTTCCATGATTGTAATATCCTATTTAGACCCGAATTCTTATCCCAACCCAGTTTCATATCAGGGAGTAATGTATCCGTCGGAAAGTCGAAGCTTTGCCATAAAAATCCACTTGTCTCGTTGTTACTGGAGTATCGCAATACCAAGTTGCCGTTGTCAAGAAGCTCGGCGGTCAGATCCGAGTTCAGACTTTGGCCAGTCACATTGGTTGACCAAACAGAGTTACTAGTATGATCAAAGAGGTGGAGGTTGTTATTGAAGATTTTGAGTGTTCCGATAGGCTTGGAGAGTGGATTGTCTCTGTTGGCAACCCAAACAACTTCATTAGGCAGCTTTCGGTACCACATGCCAAGGTACCAGCGCTCACCAACACCGGAACTTGGGGCCGGTTTGAAAAAACCAAGCTCAAGAATACTCTTTGGGGACGAGATCTTGTTTTGGATAGATATATTGAAGGGCGCTGACGATGAGATTCTTGAATTATACACGGAGAAACCTTTGTGAAATAAGACGAATAAAAATAATAATACGATCCTCATCTTTTTCTTTTTTCTTTTTTCTCTTTGTCTTCTTTGTAAGTTTCGTTCTTTCTTGTTTGAACAACTGCATTCTTTTTAGTATTAGATATTCTTTGGACAAGAATTTGTTATTTTTCCACATTGCTTGACTTTTACAACAAGTTGCGTTCAAGTTTAAATTTTCAACAGGACATAAATGAAACTTAAATTACGTACATGTGAGATTAATTTCTCCCACGGCAAACATTGCATATGTTTTTTTAGGGAACTAGTTGTCAATTTAAATCCTAATAAAGGTCCCCAAATCTATAGCACATCAACGGCTGGAGGATCGAGACTCGTTGATGAAATCCATAAAACCGTTCATTTTCCATAATTTAAACTATCATCGAATTTGAGAATTTTTGGTGTTGAAGTTTTAGTTTAAATTGTCATGTTTTATTTGTTCGTAGTTTCTCTAGTGTTTTCAGTGTACCATAATTAAGTTTTATCCTTTTTTTTATTTTAGTTTTTATTTTTCTTCCCTATTAAACAATTATTAAAATGAAATTTTATTTATCTTCTACTTATCTCTCCTATTATTTCTCACCCATTTTAAGTGTTCCATAGGCATTATCTATGGATCATCTAGTATTTTTATCTTAAAAAAAGAAACCAAAATTCTTTATATAGAACACTGAGGTGATTATAAACAAACTATTTCACCTAAATAAAGGAAGCAGAAAGATAAAGAAAAATGGCCAGGATTGCAAATGGTGTTGGAATCGTTGGTCTTTTAATAATTTTCATGTTGATTTGGGGAGGTAATTTACATTATAATATGAATCTAACCAAACTATCTATTATATTGTTGTGTGTTTGTATTTATAAGTTACAAAAAAAAAAGTATTCAAATTTTTCATAATTAAAATATGTAAAACAAAAACACTTGTAAATGCAAAACTTAACTTTTAAAACAATCCAAACCCAAATCATAACGATTACTTATTTATTTATTTTTTGCATCATTAGGAATTCCAAAAGGACATACTAAACGTTCTAGTCCTTATTGTGTGAAGAGACCCAGCATATTAGCGGCACCTGGGAACTGCTTTAAAAGTAATGGTAACGCATTGTGTAAAGAGTCTTGCGTCAATGAAAATTATCCAAACGGCGCATGTCTACATCTACCGAAGCCACAGTCAAAACTCAAATGCCACTGCTGGGCTAGGGATGATATATCTTGTTCTTATGCCTAATCCTTCCAAACCTCGCGTCAATATATTGATACTAAGGGGAATATCTCATCAACTTGCATGCTTCTTAATATCGATAACTGTATTTATTGTTTTGTTTTTTTAATGCATTTAATAATTCACTACAATAAAAAGGTGTTTTGCATCTCTTGTTTTGTATATTTGTATCGGTTATAACCGATGCAATTGAGTTTCACATTACTTAATATAAGTGAATATGAAAGTGGTGATGCAATTCAGTTTTGCATCAATTAATATAAGCGATGTTAGTATTTGCATCAATTTTTCAAAATGACGTTAATATTTTCAACAGATATAACAATCCTATACTATTATTTGGGGAGTACAATTTATGGATTACCCTTAATTAACCTTCCCCTTTGTAAGAATTTACTTAAGAATGCCATTAGAAATAAAATTTTATAGAGTAAATTAATTCAACTCATTAAGGTTAAACAAGTCAAATACTATTTTATGCAATTTAATTAATTTAATTTAATTATTAAAACGAAAATCTATTATTAATTTCTTTAAAAAGAATGACCAATCAAAATGAACATATAAGATTTGATATCTAACTTACCATATTAATTTGTTATTAATCATTATACTTCACCTCTCATCTTTATATGATTCTATTTCTATAAATAAATAAATAAATCATTATATCATCTATATAATAATAAAAAAGTAAACTTTTTCCGCATATACCAAGATTTGAATTTTTAAAAACGAATATAAATTATTCAATGTATGAAAGAACAAATTTAACGGGTCAAAAAATCATATTTGAGTAATATATTCCTCTTTTTTTAATATCATCAATACTTAATAGATCAAAAATTTATAAAGTATAAATACTCTAATTAAATTTTTTGAAACAAATATTTATAATAGGCGGCGGGTTGAATATAATATATTATATGATGAAATGAGTTATGATCCTTATAACTATTTGAATATTTATATTTAATTTCATATTATTTTTTAAAAAATCATAATTTTACATAATACAATAAAAATTTTTAAAGATTTTAATTTGGAACATTTTAAAATAGTTTAATTTAATATATTAAAGAATATCATAAATATTTAATAGATTAAAAAGATAATAAAAAATTAGAAATACATTAATTTGATTTTCTAAAAAGATATGTTTAAAATATTTATAGTAGGCAGCGGGTTAAATGTAATGTATTATATGGTAGAAAGTTATGATCCTTATAACAGACGGTATTTTAAAATTTTATGATGAGATGAGTTAAATAAGTTTTGACACTTCTAAATATTTGAAAATTTGATTCTGCAAGCAATTTTGAAAATAATAAATAATAGATTGTGCCGCAATATTTTCATACGGATTGTAAAATGAAAATATAGACTCCACACACGGATTGAATTTGGTATTATTATATACCAAATATATGTTCATAACATATTGGATTATGTGAATAATTGGTAAATTCCGTAATTAGCTCAAACAAATCTCTATTTCAACAACCAATGAATCAGAATTTGAAAAAATAATTTCCTAAATTAATTCAAAATAATAGCTAATTTTCTTAAGTAATTCAAAATAATCTACGTTTTAGATGCGATTCATTTATGATATTTTGATTTTTGATCTAACTAAATTATATGCACTCTCATTTTATGGTTGTTAACATAAATTAACTCATTGTTCAAACAATATTAATTTTTTTAAAAATAATCTTATTTTCCGTTTTCATATCTTAAAAAAACAATATCCATAATTGAATACTATAGAAAAAGGAAAATATATTCATTCTAATATTATATATAGGGACTGACAAAAAAATATTATTTTTTTACTTACTATTATAATATATCACAACTTTATTCTAAAACATAAAATTTATAAATTTTGTAATAAATGAAATTCAACCCGTACTGTAGTACGGGTGATGATCTAGTTGATGTTAAGTGTTTAATGAAGTAATCTTTGGTGTGGCTTATTTGTCACTAAAAAAATTGACTATATGTTTATTTTAATAACAAATTTTGTTCTAAAGATCTAATTCTGAAAATAAAATTATTTAGAAAATAATAACTATTTTCTGTTTACTCATAAAATATTGATAATACTGTAAAACCTTTCGCTTATGTTTTCACATGAATGTTTTCAAATGCAATCATTGAAGAACTTCTTTTTTTTAGAGTATTAGAAATAAGTGATAGGTTTATACAAATACGAAAACACATACTTTTCTATTGTTTTTTTTTTTTTTGATAAACCCTATCGGCTATCCGGTCGGCCCCGGTAGGAACGCACCGAGGTGCTACATAGTGGACTGGTCCACCGTGTTAACGGTAAGGCCCTTACGGGCTACCACTCTGCCTATCCCTAGTTTGGAATGCCTTCCGACTAAGTGCCAGGGGGTAGTCAGGCCGCCTGCATTTCTGACTACCAGGTAAACCAATTGGACCAAAGCCTAACTGACAGACTTCCCAAAATAATGTTGATAATAGCAGGAGGAGTCGAACCATGGAGAGGAGGGAGTTGCACCCAACCACCCTGGGCCCGCCAAGCCACCAGCCCACCATCATGTGGGCTTTTCTATTGTTTTGGTTTTGTGTTAATTTTCCAATCACGTTAATTTCTCTTACACTGTTCCACATGCCAATTCTGAGTAGTGGCTCACCCTTTTCCCGTATGTAGCTCTCAGAAAGCTCACAGATTTCTACTTTGTAAGTGTAATCACCTGTTGAAGGATCATTAATGCTTTTCCATGATTGTTTTAGACCCGACTTCTTATCCCAACCCACTTTCATATCAGGAAGAAATGTATCCATCGGGAAGTCGAAGCTTTGCCATAAAAATCCACTTGTCTCGTTGTTACTGGAGTATCGCAATACCAAGTTGCCGTTGTCAAGAAGCTCGGCGGTCAGATCCGAGTTCAGACTTTGGCCAGTCACATTGGTTGACCAAACAGAGTTACTAGTATGATCAAAGAGGTGGAGGTTGTTATTGAAGATTTTGAGTGTTCCGATAGGCTTGGAGAGTGGATTGTCTCTGTTGGCAACCCAAACAACTTCATTAGGCAGCTTTCGGTACCACATGCCAAGGTACCATCGGTCACCAACACCGGAACTTGGGGCCGGTTTGAAAAAACCAAGCTCAAGAATACTCTTTGGGGACGAGATCTTGTTTTGGATAGATATATTGAAGGGCGCTGACGATGAGATTCTTGAATTATACACGGAGAAACCTTTGTGAAATAAGACGAATAAAAATAATAATACGATCCTCATCTTTTTCTTTTTTTCTTTGTCTTCTTAGGCAGTTTCGTTCTTTCTTGTTTGAACAACTGGATTCTTCTTACACTACAAAAAAAGTCTTCATTGATAGCACTTGACTATAGCACGGTTTCTGTAATTGCTATGAATGATAGATTTGCATTTTAGTTCTTATATAATAGCATTTATTAAATGCTAAGATAAAAAATCGATAAGCGGGAATGTAAAATCACTAATTCCGCCTATACTTAGCCAAAAATTTTAGAAATCCGGGAACACTTAAATTTTTTTCCCCTTTTCTGAAATACATACACAAAATCTCTCTTAAAAAACAAAAAAAGCTTTGAGAGAAAAAGAGAAAGAAATAAACATATCTCGACCCTTCTTCTTCCTCTATACTCGCCCGTCTCCGATCTACTCCTCCACCGTCTCTGCTGCTATGGCTGAACTGTCTCTCCTCACCACTATATCTGAACCGTCTTTCTTCACCCCTCCTCCCCCTCAGCCTCCTCTACCACCTCCCGTTCCCCTCGATCCAGCTCACCCAAACCGAAACCCTAATTCACCTTCCGATATCCTAACGTCAGCAAAATCGTGATTGAAGCCACATCTTCCCACTAGCCGCCGTCTCTTCTACCTCCATCCTTCGTGAATGGTATTGGATCGTGGCGGAATGGGAAGAACCCTGGAAAATCGATTATCAAGGTAAAAAATTAAGCGTTTCTTCCTTGGATTTTGACACAAAATAACATATCCTTGTTTCTGGGTTCACTATAATTATTGTGTCTTGTACTTGAATTGATCAATTTTGGGTGCTTTTGAAAAAATGGATTTTTCTTTTTGTTGGATGCTTTCATAAATTGGTTTCTTAATCCGTTATCATGTTAGTATGATATCTTGGGACTAACTATTAGATTGTGCATCCTCTTGTGTATCCATCAAACCTCGAGGTGTTTTTGATGAGTTTGTAAAGGTTTTTTAGTTGCAGCTTGGTTCTACTACGATTGGAGTAATGTCAAAAGAGGGAGGTTTTCTTGCAGTCTGAGAAGCGTAAGGAGATAGTAAGAAGGTTTGAAAACTGAGTCTTTTTGTGATTTTGTTTTTGTCATTTTCATGTTTGGTTGTTCTCTATACATTTTGAATCTCATATAAGAATGAAAAAGGCTGTTCACGAGACCACTACAACCGATTACAAGAGGCTCAAGAGCGGTCTTAATAGAGTCGTAGTGAATTCCATTCTCGCCATTGACGAAGTTAACAACTTTAAGGATGATGTAGTGATTCAGCTCATTAACTCTTAAGGGTAAGCGTCCAACCTTTAGCTTCATTAACTCATAGCTAGTATGGATGGTGTAGGGACTAAATGGTGTAGCTTCATGGTTTTGTTTTTGTTGCAGGTCGCTATGAGTGTGAATGATATTTTTCCTAGATTATATTGTCTTTAGTACGAAGGTAAACTTAGATATAATCAAAAATTTTAATCTTCTAATTACGTGGCAATAAACCACATACCAATGGTTGCAGGGTATCGGCTCAAAGTTAGTTATACTTTGGGAATTACTCTTTTTGTATTCCTTATAGTGGGTTGCTTGTCTCGGTGGTTCTTCGGCTTTGTTCTTGTTTGATTTTATTTAGAGCTTTGAAACATTGGAAATTGTTGTGTACATGTTGGTGGAGATGAGTATATTGTGGAACAAGTTTGTCTTGCTTTTTCCTTCTGTTGCTTTTCACTTCTGCCTGATACAACTAGTTTGTGCAAGTTGAATTTTTGAATTAGGCTTGGAAAGTTAGGCCGGAGTTCAAGTAAGAAGTTGCAGCCATGTCTGAGCTCAGGTAAGAAAAATCTGGTCTCGTCATCAATGGGGTTTCATTAACAAACATACATGAGTAAAAGGAGAAACCAATAGAAGAGAAGCTTGTTGCAGGTGTTATAAAAGTTGTTAAGGTTCTCTGATGCTCTTTCACCACAAGCTTCATCACCACTATTGGGTAGGTTTGAATCTCTTTAATCATGTAAAGAGATTAGAGACTATGATATATGTATGATTCTCTTTTTTTCTTTCTAGATGTCTCTCTATGTTTGTTAACTTTTTGGCGTTTGATGCAGCATTGATTTTTTTTTTGTCACAATGCAGCATTGATTTTAAGATAAGGACTATAGAGGGATTATGCACGGGAATGCTAACGTGAAGGCAAAACACATAGAGGAGACGAGATTGAAGTTTGTCTTTTTGATTTTAGCTTTATACGATAGTATGTAAAATTAGATAATGTAATAATACTTGTTATGTATGTTGATGATTTATGAAATATAAAATTTTATTATAAATCCAATTAAATTTAATTTGCAAAACAGGATTCAAATATAATAATTATATATAAATAAATTAAATTTCTATATTAAATATAAAAATGCTACAATACAATATAAAATAACATTAAACGTGTGCTATAATATAGTATACTAGAGCACTCTATTATTGCTATGATTGAATGATCTATAATAGCATGTCAGAAAAACGCTATCGTATGGGGGACACCTACCATAGCTGCCGATGTCATAGCATTTGTGAATTCGCTATGTAATATGTATGATAGCAGATTTTTCGCGCTAACAATGAACATATTTCTTGTAGTGTTAGAATTATATATTCTCTGAATTTATTCTTTTTCAACACTGCTTGACTTTTACTACAAGCATGCGTCGTTAGGACAAAGTTAAATTTTCAACAGGACATAAATGAAACTTAAATTACGTACATGTGAGATTAATTTCTCCCACGACAAACATTGCATATGTTTTGTTAAGGAACTAGTTGTCAATTTAAATCCTAATAAAGGTCCCCAAATCTATAGCACATCAACTGCTGGAGGATCGAGACTCGTTGATGAAGTCCATAAAACCGTTCATTTTCCATCATTTAAACTATTGTCGAATATGGGAATTTTTGGTGTTGAAGTTTTAGTTTAAATTGTCATGTTTTATTTGTTCGTAGTTTCTCTAGTGTTTTCAGTGTACCATAATTAAGTTTTTTTTTCCTTCCCTATTAAACAATTATTAAAATGAAATTTTATTTATCTTCTACTTATCTCTCCTATTATTTCTCACCCATTTTAAGTGTTCCATAGGCACTATCTATGGATCACCTAGTATTTTTATCTTAAAAAAAGAAACCAAAATTCTTTATATAGAACACTGAGGTGATTTATACACATAAACTATTTCATCTAAATAAAAGAAGCAGAAAGATAAAGAAAAATGGCCAGGATTGCAAATGGTGTTGGAATCGTTGGTCTTTTAATAATTTTCATGTTGATTTGGGGAGGTAATTTACATTATAATATGAATCTAACCAAACTCTCTATTGTTGTGTGTTTGTATTCATAACTAGATCATCACCCGTACTACAGTACGGGTTAAATTTTATTTATTACAAAATTTATATATTATAATTTTATTTATTACAAAATTTATAAATTGTACTCCCCAAATAATAGTATAGGATTAAGTTGTGTGTTTTTATAGTGTATTTGTTTAAATAATTTAAGCATCTTAAACAATTTTCTAAATGATAAACAAACACGGAAGAGTAATATATTCTACAAAAAAAGCATTCAAATTTTTCATATTCAAATATGTAAAACAAAACACTTGTAAATGAAAGCGTAAATAATGCAAAATTTAACTTTTAAAACAATCCAAACCCAAATCATAACGATTACTTTTTTATTTATTTTGTGAGTCATTAGGAATGCCAAAAGGAAATGCTAAACGCTCTAATCCTCTTTGTCGGAAGATACCCAGTATATTAGCGGCACCTGGGAACTGCTTTAAAAGTAATGGTAACGCATTGTGTAAAGAGTCTTGCGTCAATGAAAAATTTCTGCATGGCGCATGTCTACATCTACCGAAGCCACAGTCAAAACTCACATGCCACTGCTGGGTTAGGGATGATATATCTTGTTCATACGGCTAATCCTTCCAAACCTCGCGTCAATATATTGATACTAAGGGGTATATCTCATCAACTTGCATGCTTCTTATTTCACCTTTTACCAAAAAAAAAAAAAAAAAAACTTGCATGCTTCTTAATATCGATAACTGTATCTTTTGTTTTGTTTTTTTTAATGAATTGAATAATTCACTACAATAAAAAGGTGTTTTGGATCTCTTGTTTTGTATATTTGTATCACTTATAATTGAGGAAAATAAGTTTTACATTACTTAATATAAGTGAATCTGAAAGTGGTGATGCAATTCAATTATTGTAATCGATATTATTATGTATCAGTTGCAAAATATGATGTTAGTTTTGCATCAATTAATATAAGTGATGTTAGTATTAATTTGCATCAATTTTTCAAAATGACGTTAATATTTTCAACGGTTATAATAAATTATGTTAAGTGTGTAATGAAGTAATCTTTGGTGTGGCTTATTTGTCACTAAAAAGATTGACTATATGTTTATCTTAATAACAAATTTTGTTCTAAAGATCTAATTCTGAAAATAAAATTTTTTTTTTTTTTTTTTTTTTTTTTCTGAAAATAAAATTATTTAGAAAATAATAACTATTTTCTGTTTACTCATAAAAAATTGATAATACTGTAAAACCTTTCGCTGATGTTTTCACATGAAGTGCTTTCAAATGCAATCATTGAAGAACTTCTTTTTTTAGTGTAATAGAAATAAGTGATAGGTTTAAACAAATACGAAAACACATACTTTTCTATTGTTTTGGTTTTATGTTAATTTTCCAATCACGTTAATTTCACTTACACTGTTCCACATGCCAATTCTGAGTAATGGCTCACCCTTTTCCCATATGTAGCTCTCAGAAAGCTTACAGATTTCTACTTTGTAAGTGTAATCACCAGTTGAAGGATCATTAATGTTTTTCCATGATTGTAATATCCTATTTAGACCCGCCTTCTTATCCATCGGAAAGTCGAAGCTTTGCCATAAAAATCCACTTGTCTCGTTGTTACTGGAGTACCGCAATACCATGTTGCATTGGTCAAGAAGCTCGGCGGTCGGTTCCGAGTTCAGACTTTGGCCAGTCACATTGGTTGACCAAACAGAGTTACTACTATGATCAATGAGGTGGAGGTTGTTATTGAAGATTTTGAGTGTTCCGATGGGCTTGGAGACTGGATTTTCTATATTGGCAACTTAAACAACTTCATTAGATAACTTTTGGTACCACATGCCAAGGATACCATCGGTTACCGACACCGGAACTTGGGGCCGGTTTGAAAAAACCAAGCTCAAAAATACTCTTTGGGGATGACATCTTGTTTTGGATAGATACATTGAACATTGAAGGGCGTTGACGATGAAATTCTAGAATTATACATGGAAAAACCTTCACCTTTTTTTCTTTGTTTTTGTTTTCCTAGTCAGTTTCGTTCTATCTTGTTTGAACAACTGCATTCTTCTTAGTATTTGATATTCTTTGGACAAGAATTTGTCCTTTTTCCATATTGCTTGACTTTTACCACAAGTTGCGTTCAAGTTTAAATTTTCAACGGGACATAAATGAAACTAAAACTACGTACATGTGAGATTAATTTCTCCCACGGCAAACATTGCATATGTTTTTTAGGGAATTAGTAGTTGTCAATTTAAACCCTAATAAAGGTCCCAAATCTATACCACATCAACGGCTCGAGGATCGAGACTCGTTGATGAAGTCCATAGACCATAAAACCGTTCATTTTCCATCATTTATACTATCATCGATTTTGGGATTTTTGGTGTTGAGATTTTAGTTTAAATTGCATGTTTTATTTGTTTGTAGTTTCTCTAGTGTTTTCAGTGTAATTAAGTTTATCCTTTTCTATTTTAGATTTTTTTTTCTTCCCTATTAAACAATTAATAAAATGAATTTTATTTTATGTTATACTTATCTCTCCTATTCATTCTCCCCTCATTTTAAATAGGCATTATCTATGGATCACCTAATATTTGTTTTCTTAAAAAAGAAACCAAAATTCTTTATAATAGAACAATCAGATGATTATAAACATAAACTCTTTCATCTAACTAAAGGAAGCAGAAAGATAAAGAAAAATGGTCAGGATTGCAAATGATGTCGGAATCGTTGGTCTTTTAATAATTTTCATGTTGATTTGGGGAGGTAATTTACATTATAATACGAATCTAACCAAACTATCTATTGTTGTGTGTTTGTATTTATAAGTTGTGTGTTTATCGTGTATTTGTTTAAATAATTTAACAATCTTAATAAGCATCTTAAACAATTTTTTAAAATGATAAGCAAACACGAAAAAGTAATATATTCTACAAAAAAAAACATTCAAATTTTTCATATTTAAAAATACTCTTTGGGGATGACATCTTGTGTTGGATAGATACATTGAAGGGAGTTGACGATGAAATTCTAGAATTATACACAAGTTTGGTTTTATTTGTTCGTAGTTTCTCTAGTGTTTATATGCTCAGAGGACTTAAAAATTAGATTTGTACCATTGATAATTCAAAATTTAAAAAAGTAGGAAAGAGAAAAAAAAGGAAAGCCATAAATATCCTTCTTATTTTGTTTTAATTACGTAAAATGTCATTTCTGAATACACTGTTCATTATATGATACTGTACACTTGATACTGTTCATCAATTTTTTGACGACACTATTCGTCTGAGATTACCGATACTATTTATCACCGGATTGCATAAAACATTTTGTGATTTGTCTGGATAACTATTTGATTAACGTGTTAACTAGTACAATATCGCGATAAAATTCATATATTATGTGTTAAATACATATTTATCGTGTTAAACCAGTTATCATATCATAGAAATTAATTTGAAATATCAATTTAAAATTGTGAATTATAATTTACTTTATTCATCAAATACTTGGGTAAATATATATATATATATATATATATATATATATATATATATATATATATATATATAAGTTAGATGATTATCTATTGGGTTACCATGTTAACAATCGGGTTAAATCATAATGTACCGCGGTAACTTTATAAATATGTGATAAATTAATATTTATCGTGTTACCTCATTGATTATATCATATATAAATATAATAAGTTACATATAGTATAGTATTTGTGTAGATAATTTAATTAACATGTTAACTAGTATAGTATCATAATAGATTCATAAATTATGTGTTTACTATTCATTTACCATGATATAAAACTACGGTAAATAAAATTGTAATGGGCTAATGTTTCATTTAGCAAAGTATCTCACCATTTTTCCTATTAAACAATTAATAAAATGAATTTTTATTTATGTTATACTTATCTCTCCTATTCATTCTCCCCTCATTTTAAATAGGCATTATCTATGGATCACCTAATATTTGTTTTCTTAAAAAGAAACCAAAATTCTTTATATTAGAACAATCAGATGATTATAAACATAAACTATTTCATCTAACTAAAGGAGGCAGGAAGATAAAGAAAAATGGCCAGGATTGCAAATGGTGTCGGAATCGTTGGTCTTTTAATAATTTTCATGTTGATTTGGGGAGGTAATTTACATTATAATACGAATCTAACCAAACTATCTATTGTTGCGTGTTTGTATTTATAAGTTGTGTGTTTATCGTGTATTTGTTTAAATAATTTAACAATCTTATATAAGCATCTTAAACAATTTTTTAAAATGATAAACAAACACGAAAAAGTAATATATTCTAAAAAAAAACATTCAAATTTTTCGTATTTAAAATATGTAAAACAAAAACACTTGTAAATGCAAGCGCAAATGCAAACCCAAATCATAACTGACTACTTTTCTATTTATTTTGTGAGTCATCAGGTATGACAAAAGGACATGCTCAACAGTCTAATGCTTATTGTCAGAAGGTACCAAGCACGTTAGCGGCACCTGGGAACTGTTTTAAAAGTAATGGTAACGCATTGTGTAAAGAGTCTTGCCGCAATGAAAATTATCCAAACGGCGCATGTCTACATCTACCGAAGCCACAGTCAAAACTCAAATGCTACTGCTGGTTTAAGGCTGATGAATATAAATGTCCCAAACTTTCTTTGTAAGCCTAATACTTCCAAACCTCGCCGTGTTACTTTTCTTTCAAGATTAGTTTATGGCTAATCTTATGTTTAAATCCAAACAACCTTGTTTCGGAGCAATTACAATAACTAATTGATTTTTACTACACAAAAGGTGTTATGTTTTGTTATTTGGACGGAATCAACGTTAAGAAAGTGTGATTCATATGCTTTTGTGATCATGTAAAATTTTATTAAGTTGGATACCATATACAGAAGACGAATTCTAAACATATATTCAAATAGAAGTAAAACGGGTTATGGATTACAGTATTACACAATACAAAAAAGTAAAATTCTAAACTATGTAGAAGATATATTCTAAATTACATAAGGTAGAAGACGTATTCTAGATTAGATGTGTAGAAGACATATTTCGTTTGAACTTCCAGATATTCAAAAAAAAAAAAAAAAAAAAGTAAAAGACATATTCTCAATTACCTAAGGTATAAAAGATGTATTCTACATTGCGTTTGGTACCAAATTCATTATATATATTTTTATATGTAAAAATGTACATAAATCCCAAACTCAATCACAAATTATAAATATTTAGGAGTTAGAACAAACCCAACCCTTAGTTTAAGAATTTTTTATTTAAAATTTTTTTGAATCTAGATGAAAAGTGGTCAGATCAAGACACAAGACTGTGAGATATGACCTATAAGGTTTTTATTTGAGATTTCTGCAAAAAAAAAAAAAAGGCCTACAGATCGCTATTTTTTATAAATTTATCTTTATTCTCCAAAAATACAAATCAATCTAGCAAACTCAAAAATAATAATCAATACAACCATTCGTCATTAAAAAAAAAAAAAATACATTCTTCATAACCGTTAAGTTTGTTAAATTTTTATAAATAATATCTCAAATCGAAGTCCTCACGACGACTAGTTTAAGTCCTTATAAAAATATAATATGTGACTGTAAAACCTAGAAAAGCTTTTTTTTTTGTCGAAAATGTTACTTTCATTAAATAAAAACAGAAATACATTAAGTGCTTTGATCAGCTGCTGCGAAGCTGAAGCAAAGGAAAATTTCTGAAAATAAAATTCTAGGGCTTGTTGGATAGCAAAAAGGAGCGCCATCGCCTCTGCCATGAGAGGAGAGCTCACGTTAGTTGCTGTAGATTTGCTTTGCTTCTCTAATTTTGAAAGATGGTCCAAGAACACCCATCCAAATCCTGCTTCTTTCGATTACTCTCGCCAAGCTGCGTCTTGTGTCAGCGCTGATCGATGCAATTGGAGAGACAAGCAATCGGCTTTTAGTAACCGGATCTACCGATTGGGCCGCCGTCCATTCTTTAGCCTGAGAAATCGCTTGGGATAGAACATCCAGACTGGAAAGATGTTTTTGTTCAAAGATATTTTTGTTACGGCACGACCAGAGCATCCATAAAATCCATGGTAGCAGAGAGTTATATTGTGTATTATCTTAGATTTCATATGATTAATCTATATTTTTGGAGATAACAAGTAAAGTCACAAATACAGACTTAGAAGGTTTTTTTTTTGCAACCTAGCTTTATATAATTAGATATGAAATATTAATTTTTACAAAATATCTAAATAAATATCAAATTAATTAAGATTAAAAATACATAAAACATAAAACATAAAATTACAAAACTACAAAATTAAAACCAAACAAACATAAAAACTAAATTTAATAAGATAATTAAACATTTATGGTCCGAATATACTAATTCTGAAAATTTGTACAAATGTAATTAATTTTCTAATATTTTTAATATATGGATTGTAATCTTATAATAAGTAAGTTATAAGGATAATTAGAATCTATAAAAAATATTAAAAATAGATCTTAAATTTAATAATATAGTAGTAGTAATATATAATACTTTTTGTAGTATATTATTTTGTGTTGTAGTTAGAGATAAGTAAAAAAAATAAGACACTATAATACCAAATTTGGTATGATTTCAACTCCGAATGTAGTGTTGTGGTTAGGAGTTGCTCTAAGGATTGATCAGTGATCACTAAGTCTCAGTCACATTTTTTTTTTTTTTTTTTGACATCTTTGGATCGACAAGGCCCGATCCATAGCCAATCCCTACTACGCGGGGTAACGCGACTTAGTGGAATCGAACTCCGGTGAGGAAGTGACTAAATGACACTATTCCACATGTCTGATATATCACTCGACCTTGTGTTTGTTACGAAACTGACTTTTTATTTTTATCAACTTCGTTCGATTATTTTTTGAGAAATTGTTAAAAATGCCCCTTTTTCAATACCCCTTTTCAAAAATGCCCCCTTTGAGAGTCCATTTTTAAGTTTGCCCTCTTTTAATTTTTAATGACCATTTTACTCTTATTTGAAACAAAATTAGGTCCACAAAATACAAAATATTTTTTGGCGGGAAAAGTGATCCCGCAATTTTCCCGCCAAAACACTTGTAAAAACCTTTAAAATACCTTGTAAAATTTTCCCGTAAAAATTTTTCCCGCCAAAAAAAAATTTGCGGGAAAAGTGATTCCGCAATTTTTTTGGCGGGAAAATTTTTGGCGGGAAAAATTTACAAGGTATTTTAAAGGTTTTACAGAGTATTTACAAGTGTTTTGTAAGGTTTTACAATGTATTTTAAAAGGTTTTACAAGGTACTTATAAGGTTTTATAAGGTATTTATAACTTGTAAAACCTTATAAAAAACTTGTAAAACCTTATAAAATAGCTTGTAAAATCTTATAATATCTTATAAATACGTTGTAAAACCTTTTAAAATACATTGTAAAACCTTATAAATACCCTGTAAAAAACCTTTAAAATACCTTGTAAATTTTTCCCGCCAAAAATTTAACGCCAAAAAAATTGCGGAATCACTTTTCCCGCAAAAAAATTTTTTTGGCGGGAAAATTTTTTGGCGGGAAAAAATTTTACGGGAAAATTTTACAAGGTATTTTAAAGGTTTTACAAGTTTTTACAAGTGTTTTGGCGGGAAAAATTGCGGGATCACTTTTTCCGCCAAAAAATATTTTGTATTTTGTGGACCTAATTTTGTTATATTTCCTTATATATTTGTGATATCTTTTATTAAAAGAAGGGTAATTTAGTCATTTTGTACATAAAAAAGGGGTATTTTTAAAAATAGACAGCCAAAGAGGGCATTTTTGAAAAGGGGTATTGAAAAAGGGGCATTTTTGTGAGTCTCCCTTTTTTTCAATATTTTCTCTCTCTTTTTTTATTAATATAGTCAACATCTTTTCTCACTATTTCATGGAAAATTCAGCTATAATGGACACAAATAGGCCTGGACGTTCGGGTATCCGTTCGGTTCTGGTTCGGTTCCGATTGTTTCGGTTCTAGAGTTTATGATCCATATAGGAACCAAACAATTTCGGTTCGGTTCCGGTTCTTTCGGTTCTGAAGTTTAGGATCCATTCGGATATTTTTTTTCGGATATTTTTAGGTATTTTGGATACTTTTGAGTATTTTCAGATATTTTCGAGTATTTTTTGGATATTTTAAGTATTTTTTTTATATATTTTCCAAATAATTGTTGGTATTTTGGGTATTTTTGGTTATTCGATCTAAAAATAACTAATATTTTTAGATATAAACTCATATTTCGGATATTTCCGGATACCCAAAATATTTCGGTTCGGTTCCGGTTCCAGTTCTGGTTCTTTCGGTTTTAAAATTTAGGATCCATTTGAGTATCTTAAAATTTCGGTTCGATTTCGGTTCGATTCATTTTGCTTCGGTTCTGGTTCGGTTCTTATGGTTCGGTTATTTTTCTCAGGCCTAGACAAAAAAAAAGTAGAAGAAGTTTTTTTTTTTTTTTTGAGCAAAGAAGTAGAAGAAGTTAATTTAACTTTCCACTAATTAAAAAAAAATCTAGGACTTCTCGTCGAAACGCACCGTTATTGTTAACGGTCAAACATAACGGACTTCTGAAATCACCAACTCTTCAGCTCCGTCCAATCAAACGGAATAGCCACACAGTACACGTTACCGTATCTGAACACAGCTCAGAGTCGCAGACAAATAGAAAAACAATCAGAAAAACAAAAATAAAAAAATTAGGAAACAAAGCAGATTTGCTTCTTCTCGATTCTTTGCAATTTGCATGCATTGCTCATCAAAAATTCCTTTCTGGGTTTTGTTGGAAATTAGCTGTATTACTTGAAATGTTGAAACTTTACTTTTTTTCTTCTTCTTTTTTTGGTCAAATTTTGTGTTCTCTCTAGATCAAAACCCTAATTCTCAATTCTACTCAAAGTTCCTATTTTTATAGTTCTTTGAGGAAGAGAAAGATTGGTGTTTACTAAGGTGAGAGATTCTGTTCTTATGGAGATCTTTCGCATTGTAGGATGGTTTAGGAATTGAAAATCATCTTGGGGTTAGTGTCTTCAATGGATCTTGATATTTTGATTTTGGGTATGTGAGAATCTTTAAAGGTCCGATTTTTACTTATTTAGGTTGACCTGTGAATAAATTTGAATTCTATAGCTGTTTATATGTATAAAGATTGCATCTTTGATCTTGGTTTAGTTTATATAATCACATGATTTGGTCAGCTTCACAATTAGTTAAAGAGTTTTTGCTTTACTTAATGCATTTGTACAATGAAAATTGCAACTTGTGTGGTTCTACTGTATGAGACTTATCTTCTTATCTAAAGACTGTTTCTTTTGGATTTGTTTATTTTACAAGGTTGAGGAAATGATAATAGCAAAGCAATACCGTTGCATTCACTCGGCGACTTGTCATTGCACGAAAGGACATCTTAGCGAAGAAGTATTGTTTCTTATGGTTCAGCATCTAAACTGGAACCCTAATGTGATTGCGACTCTATCTTGTGTTTGTAAATGGTTTGATGATCTCGCTAAGCGGTTATTGTGGAAAGAATTCTGCAGAGCTAGAGCACCTAAGATGATGAGTGACCTTCAATCTAGTGGTAGCCATAGTGTTGATGGGAGTTGGAGAGCACTTGGGAAACTTTTGATTTACTGCTCTGGTTCAAGCAAAGGTGGACTCTTTAATGATGTTCAAATCTCTGGTCATTTTGTTCACCGAACCCGCTTCTCTAGAACATCGGGAAGGAGCTTTCTTCCTCCACAATGTCGAACTGATGATATTCTCTATGTTTCTGATCCTTGTGAACATCTGGATCAAGGAGAAGATGGTGATTTGGGATTCTTCCGTGGGATTTTTAAATCGTTTTCAATGTCAAAGGTGAGGAAGTTGCTTATCAAGAAAGGGACACCATTTCATCCCACAGAAGTTTGTCCGTATTGCAAAGCAAAGCTGTGGAGTATGCTTCAGGCGAAAATGATACCACAGAGTGCTAGCTGTAGATTGGGGGCTTATGAAGATAGCATTGAGTATTATGTTTGCCTCAATGGGCATATGCTAGGAGTTTGTACACTCTTACCCTTGTCTGATTCTGAAGGGGCTACCGAGTTTCAGTGACTATAAGTTCCCGACCTTGCTTTTTCCTTTGCAGAAAATGCTTGAAGCTTGGTCATAAGTTATGATGTCGTCTTTCTGTTTCTAATGTACTGGTGAATTGTTGTTGCTAGACTTTGGGAATCATCACTTTGCAAAGAGTTGATGTGAAGTGTATCATAAGCTGAAGTTGTGCAAGGTTCAACGATTTCAGATTCTCAATCTACCATTGGTGTGCATCGACAAACCATTTGTTGATTCTGTGCATGTATATGTATGAACAACACTTGCAAATTGTAATAGACGCATTTATTTCTGCTACATTTTTAATCATTTGACCCCAAAAAAAACTAGGAATCTCTTCTAAGTCTCTCATCTTTTAACAACTTGAATTACTTCTGAACTCAATTGTGCTATGACCTGGTTTCTTCGTCAATCCAACATTCTCCATCATGTTTCTCACCTTCTCCATATCTTTCCATCGACCTAAAGCCGCATAGATATTTGCCAACAACACGTAATTGCCCGTGCTCTGTGGTTCCAGCTCGAACAACTTGTTTGCTGCCATTTCTCCAAGCTGGACATTCTCGTGTGTGACACAAGCAGCAAGCAATGCACCCCAAATGGTTGAGGTTGGCTCAAATGGAATTGTTGTAATGAGATTGTAAGCTTCGTCTAACCGACCTGCTCGACCAAGGAGATCAACAATGCAAGTGTAATGGTTTGATCGGGCTAACGTTTTGTAATGTTCAAGCATGAAGCTGAATAATGTCAAGCCTTCTTCAACCAAACCCGAATGACTGCAAGCATTTAAGGCAGAAGTGAATGTGATTTCGTTTGGCGTCACACCAGATCGAACCATTTCCATGAAAACTTGCAACGCATTATGACCATCTCCGTGCATCCCGTAGCCAGAAATTAAAGCACCCCATAGAACTACATCTTTGCTCTTGTGTTTTTCCTGGATTCCATTGAATATCTTGTGAGCGGATTCTAAAGTTCCACACTTTGAGTAAACATGAACCAGCCCTGTAGCAGCATCGAGGCTTGACATAAACCCGGTTTTGGTTAGGTAGCAATGGATATTCATTGTTTGGCGCAAATCTGCCAAAGTTGCATATGCTGGAAGTAGACTGTTTAATGTAGCAATGTTGGGTTCTACATCTTCCCGTCGCATCCGTTTGAACAGATCCAACGCGTCCCTCACAAGTTCATTCTGTACACAACCAGCGATAATTGCACTCCAAGGACCGGTATGGTTTCTTGAAGCCCCCGAAAAAACTCTAAAGCAGAGGTCTATGCGCTTGCATTTAGCATACATGCTGATCAAAGACGTTTCGATGATGATATCGGAACAAACCTTTTGCCTTATCGCCCAACCATGTAAACATTTACCATCATTCAGCTTCAAAGCATCACCACATGCTGAAACAAGAGAGGATATAGTCACAGCATTAGGTCTTACGCCTTCAAACTGCATCAATCTACACAACTCTAAAGCGTTCTCCACATCCCCATCTTCTGTATATCCGTTAATCATACACGTCCATGTGATCACATCCCTGCGTTCCATCCTGTCAAAGACAAATCTCGCCTCATCCATACGACCACATTTCAAGTACATATTCACCAACGCATTCTTCACCTCAATTTTATCCCCTAACCGCTTCTCTTCCACCAATTTATGAACATTTCTTCCCATTTCCAAACCCTTCAAGTGACCACAAACAGGCAACATGGACACAATCGTAGCATGGTCAGGATCAACACCTTCATTAACCATCCAATCAAACATCATCAACGCATCATTCATATATCCATTCCTATAATACCCACTAATCATCGTATTCCACGAAATCACATCTCGATTCTTCATCACATCAAACACATTCCTCGCCATTTCAACCCTCCCAAAGTTCATATACATAGCTAACAATGCGTTCTGCACATACTTATCCATACCAAACCAACTTCTCAAGATCCTCCCATGAATAACCAACCCCAAACTAATCGATTTCAATTCTCCAGCAGCCTTGGCAACAAAAGGGTATGTATAACCATCCGGAACACACTTAATTCCCTCACTAACCATCCTAATAAACACGTTAATCGCATCGTGATACAATCCGTCACGCACATACATTCTGATAACAATGTTATATGAAAGCAAAGAGCTTTGAGGCATTTCCTCGAACAGCTTCCGTGCATAAGCGATGTGGCCACATAAAGCATAAGTTACGGAGAGAGTCGAGAGAATATGGCCGGAAAGTCGACCGCCGGTGATGACGTGGCAGTGTAAAGCTTTGGTTTTGGAAATTGATTGAGTAGCTGCATAGTGATTCAAGAGAGATTGGTATTGCTTGACGCTAAGTGCTTTTTTGGCTCTACGCAAAACTTCACTCATTTGAAAAAACGACTGTTGAAAAAATCTTTTGGGTTGCAATTTCTAAAGCCAACGAGATAGCTAACCAAAATGCGTGGCGTTTTGTATTTCTCTATGAGAACTGCGTGACGTTTTGTATTTCACTATGAGAACTGCGTGACGTTTTTCTTCTTTTTTTTAAAAGGATTTGCTTCTGCAACTTGATATGAATTTTCTGCTTCTTATGATGCTTCTGTTTATAGATTCTTGTGTTTGTATATTCACTATGGTCTGAGATGCAAATTCATACTATTCAGATAAGATCAGTATCAAGATTCAAGAGTCAAAATAGATGATATCAAAAGATACATAGTACTGATCTATGAACAACAATAACCTCTCTTTACCCACACATTCTAAAGAGTTTTTTACTAAACAACAAATCCGAGTATTACCGCTTGAAGAATGCAACTGGATCATCATCATCTTGCTGTCTAGTTTATATATCCACCTGAGGGATTCTACCACCAGCTTGGACAATCTGTTGCTCAAGCTGCAACCAAACAATGCAAGAATTATTCATGAATACGAAAGCAAATTAAAACCGACACAATAGCAGCTGTTCACTCACATTAAACAAATCTTGAAGCTTTGCTTTTAAAGTCTTGTACTCAATATCCACTTGCTGCAAACATCTCACACACCTATAACAGAACAACAATCAAATGAACATAGCAGAAATTTGAGATTCTCTTATATAGAAGATCCGGAAAAGAAAAAGGTTACCCTTCATAGTTCTGAGAGTCACAACACTCCTTGAGGGTAATACAAAGACCTTTGACTCTCTTGGCACCAACACTTCATTAAACAACAAGAAAGGAGCTCTTCACTGAGACTAGCTAGATCCGAGATTAGACAAAAGACTGAGACTATACGGATCAACGCAACATACCTTGAGCTACTACCTTTGAGTTGATGAACACTAGAACCTACTAGCTTGAAATCTACATTTCCTGCCTGATCTCTGAATTCATATACGAACAATTATTAATCATATATGCTTTTTGATAATAACTAGTGAAAGAAAAGTAAAGAAACTTACAAAGCTCTAGCCATATTACTGATAAGCTTCTCACAGTCTTCAAAGAAGAGAGTAACAACCTCAGCCACAAAATCAGGACTACATTCATCTTGCAGCTTTTTCAATTCAGTGAATTGATCATCCAAAAACCCCTTCTCAAAACGAAAACTAAAGAATCTCAGAAACCCATTTCACAAATACTAAACCCAATTCTTAAAATCCCCAATTCCCAAATATATAAGCTTCAATAAGAACCCTAAAACAGTAAAGACTACAGATTTATCCCTAAAAAGGAGACAATAACCCATTTCACAAACACTAAACCCAATTCTTAAAATCCCCAATTTCCAATAAGAACCCTAAAAAGGAGACACCTTTGAAACTCAACCACAATTTCAAAGTTTTCTTCACAAGAAAGTTAATCACTTTTATCATAAATCTCTCTAAAGCAGATGCTAAAAATTACCTGGTGATAGAGAGAAATGGTGTAATCACGAAATTGTCTCTGTAACTGAGCAATGAGTGTGTCCATGGCTCTCTCAGTCTCTCTACTCGTGAAGGCAAAAGCAGAGAGAAGAAGATGTAAAGTTTGATTTTTTTTTCTTTCTAAAAACTTTGAAATTGCAATCCCAATAAAGAGAGATTCTTACAGATCATCAAATTTGGACAGAAATAAATAAAGAAATACTCACAAAACTTTTTCCATAAAGGGCAGAGAGAATTAGAATATGATTAGTTGTCAAAAAGACAACCTTTAGAAGTGAGAAATGGAATCTCTCATTCATCATGATTGATACTACATTCATTCATTCTCTGCGTTTAAAGTTATTTACATTTTCAAAGTTAGGTATGTTTCTGTAATGTCAATCCACCGACACTAGAATCTCTCACGCTGGAAGATTCTCTATAGACAAGTTCCTATAAGCTTATCTTTCATTTGAAGCATTGCCGTGTGGACAAGACTCAAGAACATTGGTTTGATTCTTTTGACAGAGCTTCAGACAATCATATACTCTCATCAACTTGACCTCTGAAAACAATCACATATTTTCAAAAGCTACGAAAGTATGTGTTAAAAGCATACTTATAGTTGCAGATTTTGCTGTTTATGACAAAGTAAAGTTTTTTGCACTAAAATTAAGTTGTTTGGTAATTAACATACTTATTATTATATAGTAGAGGCATTAGAGTTATTTCTGACTAGAGTACTACTTTTCTTTTATTTTTGTTATAACAGATTTTGATATTAGACTTATTTTTCTTGCTGCTTTATTTTTTAGATCTGTTTTGGTTTTGAGTGAAATGTTTTATGTTTCAATTTGTTGGAATGATGATCGCGATTTTCGTTCTGAGGATTGCGGAGGTCAAAGGAGGCGAGTCTGGCTTTATTCGGTAACCGATCCAAGGTAAACATTGAAAGCAAGAACTTTTGTTTTGGGGCATTGAGATTTAAACTAGGGAACTTTGGGGTGACGAGTGCACAAGTCTTGCTACATGACTTGCTAAGCTGAAGCAATATGAGGCGACAGGCGTTACATACCTCTTGCGGTCCTGCCACTCATTTGAAGGTACATATGACTAGGGCCGCCAAGCGAAATGAAACAATGGTCTTTGGGCCAACAAATTTTTATGGCTGATTTAAAGATATTGGCATATATAAATAGTAAAAGTAAGGGTGGAAAATTCATATATGATTAAGAAAGTATATAATAATTGAGAAAACAAAGTGTAAAATTATATTGGAATTGTTAAATCTTGGTGGCTTTTTACTA